AATTCGGATTTAAAAAGATACTGACTTTAACCTAACAATTTACGAGTTCGAACTGAAGATTCAAGGATATGTCTTTTTTTAAATGCAAAAACCTGATCACTTTATTAGCTATTTTTTTCTTTGATTGCCTTTCTTCAAACCTTACATTACATTCTCTTGAGGGTTGAGCTTCAAATTTTCTTTCACTTAACCTGCGTTTATCTTTAAATCTGAACGCGGAAAATTGGAATTGACGTTCACTAAAAAAAAAAAAAAAAACACTAAAAGACAAACAAACAAGTGAAGTCCTTGTTGGAAGGAAACCACGAATCAAACTCGAACAACTAAATCACCGCTACTTGATGATATAACCGCAGTAACTATCCCGCGAGGACAGAACTATATAAAAGTATTTATGGACTTCGGATTGCATAGGTAATCTAGGTCGAGAAAACTGTTAGCTGTGCAAGTGACATAACCTTTGCATAATTATGCACATTGTTTGATTAGAAATACTACAATCAAAGCCACAATGGCCTTTTAGTGTTCCTTCTTGGGGTTATCAAATAGGACATTTTAAGCCAGCAAAGTTGAATGCAAAAGTATACCATGTGAGTTAGACATTAATATCAATTTTTACATGAACAATTATTGGCATTTAAGTCTGTAGGTGTTAAAGAGTCTTTAAATTTTTAAGTCTGTAAGAATTGCTGTCTAAGCGTCAACAGACCGGAAATGATTTCGAGAACCGGTTTCGCAATGGGTTCCTCACAAGATGAGATTAAACTACATTTTATTCCAATTATTTTCGTAGGAATTTGTCTTTTACATGAAAGCCTGATCGTAATCACTGGATCAATTAGCCCTTTTAAGGATAATAGTATGATGGCAGCATTCAGATGAACCTTGATTGAACCGTCAATGAGAACAAAACATTAAATGGATGACTGCCATTGAGTTTAAACGAGCAAAATTGAATTCGCTCACGTTTCTTTAAGATGGTGCCACAATGCTCACTTGTTATTGTCGCTTTTCATAGCGACTTAAAAGTCTTTTGTCTGGTCTACAGCCTGTACTGTTGTCAAATCAATTTTCATTGGGGTTCAATCACCGGTCCAGACAGTCGCCAAAATAAGGTAACACACTCAATTCAAGGAACACTGACCCACAGCCATTGTTAAAACCAAATTGAGACGGCAAACGAGGTTTACTATGACATGACAAACACGGAAAAATTAAGTCGGTGAGCGCACGATAATAAATTTTGTTTCATGAAATAACCCCTTGTTTGACGATAATACTGAGAAGCAAACAAAAGAAGAAGCAAACAAAAGAAGAAGTAATACTGCAAGCAAACTAAAGGTTTTTCAGACCAAAACAGCCACTTTGTGAAAACGCTGATCGCCACTGATTTACTTTTCTTAAACCTTGTTTTGCTTTCTCTTGAGAGTTGCTCATTCATATCTGATTCATTTTTCCTAACATTTCCACCGGTTTTAATTTTTTATCTCGTATAAACGCGGAAAATAGTTTTGACCTTTAAAAAAACAGCGAGGTCCTTGTTGGGACACATCCATGTACTCAAACAACTAGTGATCGAATTAATTATTCATCAAAATTTGTTCAAGACGATAGTGGACGCTTTAGAAAAAAAAAAGGGGTTTCCAGAATTAACTGCCTCTCACAAAATCCCGATCTCGGCAAGGATTTGTCAATACCGTCAACTTCCCCTGAGAGTTGAGCATTGATAATTTGTATTTCTAAATCTTACAATATCGCTGTGTTTATTTTTAAACTCGTGAATGCGGAATTTAGTTTAAGACGTTTAAGCTCGATTTGATAATGATAATAATGATGATGATAAAAAAAAAACCAGCGAATTCCTTGCTGGAAGACACGCACCTAGTAAACTCAAACAACTATTAAATCAAATCTCCGTAATGAAGTAAGTGCACTTTTAGGAGCCTAAAATACATTTAAGTCCACACATTTTGGGACTTAAGCATTAGATTTCTATAGTACTTTTAAATGCAAAAACTATTAAGCAATGCAAGTAAATGTAGACCAAGCATAATTATTTTAATTGCAACCTTTTTGACGAGCTACCCTTGCTGAAAATAAATACAAATCATGTATTTTCCCGGTGTGATGAAATTGATCGATTAAAAACCGTTGTCTGGGACAAACAATTATTTCAACTGCGTTCAAAAATACCATAACAAAAGACACAATGACCTTATAAAGTTCCTGTTTGGGAGTATAAATAAGAAGTTTTAAGACCAAAGTTTGAGCTGTGTGGTATTCCCAATGCGAAGGATCAAAGTGGCTTAAAGGTAAGAATGAACTATGTCAATTAGTTATCAATACCAATGCATGTCCTTGCATTAATATTTTGTGTACGTCCTTTTTTTTATGAACATCTAAGTTTATAAGTATCTAAAGGTCTCTAAAACTTTTTGGTGTGTGACCATTATTCTCGCGTCAGAACAGATTGCCAAAGAAATTCTCGAATTGCTTCGGAATAGGTTCCAGACAATATCAGATTTTGCAATATTCTGATGCTTTCCATTTGAAAAGAATCGCTTGATTTCAAATCAAAGAGCTGATCAAAATCACTGGATTAATTAGCCCTTTGAAGGATATTGGTGATGATCACAGTGTTCAAATGAGCGGTAAATACAGACGCAGCAATAAATATCTAGACCATTAATTCTACATAAATAAGATTAAATTGGCTTTCTTCAATCATTATGCAATGGTACCACGGTGTGAGCTTTTTATTTTCAACTTTTACAACGACTTAGAAGGTCTTTTGTCTGATCGACAGCCTGCTACAAAGTGAATTGAAAACTGCACACTCAACAAAAAGTTTTTGCCGATAATCAATCAGAGCACCGACATTCTAGTATGAAAAAGAAAAAGGCTTTAAAAACATGCTACGCTAAACCAAATATTCTTCGTCGTTTGTTTCTTAGTTTGTTTTTTTGGCTTAATTTCACGGTGCAGAAGAAATGCATTTTATTTTCTCATAATACGGCTCAGTCAGAGTTCAAGGCATTCGCCAAAATTGTGATACACCTCGCGGAACCTCAAGGAACACTCACCCACAGTTATTGCTCAAACTGGTTCAAATCAAATTGTTGACGTCAAATATGGTTTACACGCGGGCTAAAGAGACCAATTAGCGAGCGAGAATTCGTCAAGAGTTAGCTGCTACCGTTGGTTTGTGTGATGATAGGGAAGTCAGACCAAAGCTTTGATTTTTATGGTATTTCGCTGATTACCTTGTTACGACTTCAGATTCAGTTGTCTTTGCTACAGTATTTCGATTTAATTTACCTTATACATTAGGGCTGCGGTTATTTTCAAACCCATCATGAACGCGGAAATAGGATTGACCTTTCAAATAAATAATCTGCGAATTCCTTGTAGGAGGACACCCACGCACTAAATTTCAACAGCTATATCTCTGTGACATAATGATGTGACGGATTTATTTATGCCTCAAGAATAAATTTTGAGAAACATTTTTTAATGGACTTCGGATTGCCAAAGTAACCTTGGAAGTGAACACGAACGGTTTGACTATGCTAGGATCATTAAGCCATGTATTACAACTATGTGAAAAGACAGAAATCATCTAAGATTTTTAAAAGTTAAAACCAAACTCGTGCTTGCAAAACATTTTACATTTGCGTTTTACATTTTATATTTACAGACAGCTCTCTCATGCGAATATATTTTCGTTATCAACTTGAAACCGTTCAAACGTTTGATAAGCGGTTTACTGATGGCAATTTATTGGGATGCAAAATTTCTTTTCGACTCTCTAAGTTACAGGAGAGTTTAGACCTTAACTCCTAACCCTGCAGCAATTACTATTCAACAACAATCCTGTTAGCTAAGCGAAAGGATTCAACAACAAAGCAAAGCTTACCTCAATCGGAGAGCGCCGCCTTTAACACCTCTGCAAGAGCCCCATAAAACCTTCCTTTCACAATAAATTGAATCGGGACATATCATCGTCGATGGTTTGTCTTCAGAAATAATGAAAACTCTCTCTACGTTCGCTGTCACTGGCCATAATTAAATTCAACAACAAGTTCGAATCCATGACGGACGTCGGAGCATGTGAAGGCGTCTTTGGCATTTGTTGATCAAACATTCTTCGATAATTTCTTGAAACACTGTTATTCTGATGAAGATTTTCCGTCGTAGTTTTTGGGAATTTGTTCTAAATAAACGTGTCAGTCAGCTTTAGGAGTTGCTATAATTTCGGACTGTCACGTCTTAATGCGCATGACTTAAATGAAGTTGCATGCGCCAGTGGCCCTCGATCTATAAAAAAGTCGAATTTAGTGGTTTCTTTGTGCAAACTATTCACCTCGATTTAAAGAATAAGTTTTAATCAGTTTTATGTCGCTCTGACGCAGAAACCATCTAGCCTTGCACTAACGAGAATCACGGCAAGTCAGTAGGGGCTGCATTTTGAGGTTGCTTATCCAGATATTAGATTTAGTTTTCAAAGAGTCAGGTCCATCATTTTTACAGAATCAAGTTTATTTTTTAACAATCAAGGCATAATTCGCGGGATCACACATGACATACCACCTAAAACCAAGGGGAATAAAAACAATTTTATTCCCCTTGAATAAAAGGGGATGACGAGAATGGTGTTGTCAACATTATTAGCAATAACATCACTAATAAATTGATTGACCTTTACAATTAGGTTCTTGGTTGCACTGACTTGACGGTCTCAAGTTAATGTTTTCATCCCTTCATTAGACAACATGGCAGAACGCTTACTCAGTGCTTTACTGCTTATCTTGGTTCTGGGATTGGAGCAGGGATCCTCTTCTGTTCTAAATAACCAAGACCGATTTGAAGGAGACACCCACACTACCCCAGACGTGGTGGATGACCTTGCCGAAATGAATGACCTGGACATGGAACAGGTGCAAGAAAGCGAGCCGACCGATGTTTGCAAACAAATAAAAGATGAATTCAAAGCCGTGGCGAACAAATCCATGGCTGAAGCCAAAAGCGAAAAACCTGATAGCTTACTAAAACAGAGAAAGGCAGAATATACATTTTGTCCGACAAAAAACTTTCAGATACTACAACATGGTAAAAAATCAGAGGCGGACGACTCGAAAGTGCTTAGGGCTTTACAGGACGAAGCTTGTGTCATTAGTGCCATTCGAGACATTTGTGAGAAAAAAAATGTTTTGCACCTTTTAAAAATAACTGCAAGTGGGTAAGTGTTTCCAGCACGAGAACACAAAGAGGCGTTAACGGCCAGCCCTAAGGCTAAGTTTTGATACTTGAGGTTACTCCAAACTTTTGCGTTTCAACTTTGGACGAAAAAGACAATTTTTTTTCTCATTGAATCGAAGTTAATTACTAAAATTTACACTTTCAGAAAGATTAAGTTAAACCCTCGCGGGTGCCTTCACGAAAAAAAAAACCTCGTGCACGCTCTGCTTTTTAAGAAATCACCCCAAACTATTTTGCATTGAAAAGGTTATTTGCAGGAAATAGTACTGAGTGGAGTCCATTTCGGTCTGAGTTCGTAGAGGCTATTTGCCGCCGATGGTCGCTAGGGAGTTCCCGCTTAACGGAGTTTATGACACCTTCAAAGCTAGACATAGTTTGAAGCTACTCTGGTTTAAGGATTTAATGAATGTAACCACTAACCAGGGAATTGCAATTCATGGACCCTTGAAAGTTATCAAGTAAACTTTTTCTTTTATGAAAACACATTTTTCTCAATTACTCACGCCCGTTTTAAGATTTCTGATTAACCTTAATTCCTTAACTTTTCGTTAAAAGTAAATCTGAAATATTTATCTCGAAAAGATATTTTACTCTGAAACTTACGCTCACCCTTTCTTTTCATCGTACATTGTTAAGCCAATACTGAATAATTCAATTCAAGCCACGGTACTTCAGTCTTGCTAATACCTCAGTTGTCCTTTACAATTACTAGTGCGTTTCTTATTTCAGTAATCGCATTCCAAAGTTCTTGTGGTGTTTGAATTTCAAGTGGTACTCTGCCACTAAATAATTCATATTTGGTTTTTTGTTTTTCAGGGAGGAGAGAATAACCATCTGCAGGAGAAAGGTTCTTCAGTGTTTACAACCGCGACAATTACGGCACGCGGAATGTCGAAATCAGTCTAAGGAGGAGGCCCGTTTTAGAACAATTCATGGAACTTGCAATAATGTGCGACAACCCTTATTTGGAGCAGCCCCTACTCCCTTCAAACGACTACAACTTGCTGATTATGCAAATCAGGTCTCGACACCTCGTGAGGCACTAAATGGAAGCAAGTTACCCAACGCGAGAAACGTGAGTCGTTTCGTCCTTGCCTTCAATGCAGACCGCCAAAACCCTGATTCTCCAACGCTGACACACTTGGCCATGAATTGGGGTCAGTTCCTGGACCATGACGTAACGCTGGCGGAAGAACAAAAAATTAACTGTGAAGCCCCAAACTCCACTAACCCAGAGTGTTTCAACATTGAGGTTCCGTCCGATGATTACGTCTTCCGGAAGAGGGGTGTTTCATTCTTCAAGGTGATTCGAGATGCTCCCGATCAATTTAAAACAGAGTGTTCACCAGGACCAAGAGAGCACACCAATACGATAACAGCTTTCATCGACGCGTCCAACGTTTACGGCTCTGACGATGAGGAGGCTGAACACCTTCGAGCCCCCGATGGGAGAATGAGAATTATGAAACCTCTATACGGCTGCCCTTTGGGGGATCTTTTACCAGCAGAAACAGATACTGAGGTGCCGTGCGTATCAAGAGATCCTAACAGACCTTGTTTCGATGCCGGAGACGAAAGAGTGAACGAGAATCAAGGTGAGGTCACCTCTCACTCTTGATCAAGACAAAAAGACTAGACTGTGGTCTATCGATCTTTTGCAACTACGCCCATAGCGTATTCAGACCAAATATTTGATATAAAACTGTAAAATTTGTTACTGCTACATAATTATGTAGATAACACATCGTCAACTTGACACCCTGTCAACGCTTGTGCACAGACATCCCTATTAAGACATGACTGGAAAGATCAAATTGCACATGCGCCCTGATTAACCCTTTTATTCCCAAGATCTCAACACTATTACTCTTTAAATGTTTACGATACACTTCTCACGGTGATAGTTCTGGGAGTTTGTCAGTAAAAATCAAATGATACACCCATGTTGATATAATTCTTTCTTCTTGTCACCTTTTTGCTTTACGAAGTACACATGTTGCGGGGAGAAACTACTTTTTGGTAATTCCAAGTGGTGAAGGGGTTCTAAAACCATGCCCTGAGAAATGTGGGAAGGATCCTACGCGGGCGTTTGTCGGCATAAGTCCTTCTATCTTACCCTTTATCAAATAACTCTCTTGCATCATCCACCTAATGATATATATTTGATGGATACAACAGGTCTCATGTCAGTTCATACTCTGTTCGTCCGGGAACACAACCGAATAGCAGATTTTTTTGGTAAAAACACAGATTGGGAAGCAGAGCAGATTTACCAGGAGACCAGGAGAATTGTCGGGGCGGAATTACAATTCATTACATACAACGAAGATCTGCCATTGCTTCTTAGCCCCAAAACGGTAGGTAACAGTTTCTAAATCTCTCTCTTTTTTTTTTCTTAGTTTCAAACTGACTTTTTTTTCTTCATTTTGTAGATCAGAGAAAATAATCTCTCTCTGCTGAAAGGAAGAAGGTATTTCAAAGGTTACAACCCCGATGTCAATGCCCAGATGTCCCAAGCCTTCTCTGCGGCTGCTTACCGATTTGGCCATAGTTTGGTTCAAGAGGAATTTTTACGTTTTACTCAAGACGGCTTTGAACACAAATGCAGCAGTGATTCTAAGTCAGAGTATCCTTCCATCCCCGTACTGGACTTTGGTAATCCAACCTACCTTTATGACAAGTGTAGTGGTGGTGTCGATTCCATCTTTAGAGGCTTAGTGAAGAGTCCCGCAGCCAAAGTTGATGGGTGAGTGAGAGATAAAAGTTATGTAGAAGATAGTTTTACATATCTCTTGTTTAGAAAAAGCGAGCCAATGGATACGAAGGAGATAGAGTGGGAGAGCAGTTATTAGGTGAAAGAGGGTCGGCGGTTTTGGGAAATAAACAAGACAGTTAATTAAACGTCAAAATCGAGTGAAAAATCATTTTACCCAAATATATCTGATTTAAACTTTTTCCCTCGAGAAAGACAAAATCCTTGCTAGAATATTCGTTAAAAAAAGATCTTCCCCGATCAGGTTTGTTTCAGGGAAGAGTTAAAACGAAAAAGCGACTAATACCGCAATTAAAAATATCCGATCTCTATAGATCCCCACATATGGGTAGGATTACCAGTAACTCAATACAAGATAATGATTTTCATACGATTGATCCTTCGGTTGACCTTATTCTCACTCTAGGCTCTTTTCCAAGTCTGTACAAGAAAATCTGTTTCGAGGCCCCGGTGACTTGTCTGACCTCATAGCCATCAACATCCAAAGAGGACGCGAACGCGGTGTGCCTTCATACACGACATATCGAAACGAGTTTTGTAAAATTACACCAAAAGTAGGCAAGTTCGAAGATCTGGAAAATGCTGGCATTGGCAAAAAAGATATAAATAATTTGAGGTCCCAGTACCAGTCTGTCCAGGACATCGATCTTTTTGTTGGAGGTATGTCTGCACAGGCGCAATGCCGCTACACACTGATTTTCGATTGAGTGCGTGAAACCAAGTGCAAAGTAATCACAACAGCCAATCAGAGCTCAAGGAATTATCATAAGGAGCCAATCAGAACTCAGAGAATTATCATAAGGAGTCAATCAGAACTCACATAAGGGAGTGGGGGAGAGGGAGAAAGCAAGAAAACTGACTAAAGTGAATGAAAACGCAAGTGATCAAGTCACATTTGGATTAAGTTATTTATCTCGTCAGTTAAGAGGGCGACACAACTTTTCCTGACCGGCCACAAAGAAAATCGAAAAATAATGCAATCCTGTTCTACTATATAGAGTGCATTTCGATGGAATGTTGTAAAACCAAAACCAAAACAATCGCACCTGCCAATGAGAAAAAAGGCGCATATCACAAGGAGCCAATAAGAACTCTAAGTAGGTGATCAAACTGACTGGAGCGCGGGAAACGCTACTTACCAAGAGATTGGATCAATAAAAGAGCAAAGAAAATACAAACCAAAGCAATCTCGAATTAATGTCGACGTTCAAATAAAGCTTTTCAGTAACTTTGTAGTACTGTTTTCGGTATCAACTGTCTGGAGACAAATCTTTTACTTTCTTGGTGCCAAAATGCTGCAATATTTTTTTGAGGAATGTTGTAATGATGGCCTGTTAATACCCAGATAAGCGCAGATAAACTCAACGGTTTCTTTAATCTACACCTGGCGAGCACGCCATGTTACAGTACCATGATTCTTAGCGCACAGATAACTCTATATAACAGTAACGAAATGTCTAAACACTACAAATGTGAACCACCTACAAGCTCTTTGTTTCCTTTTGCGGGATCAAAGCGAGTGATCCCGAACCTTGCTTATTCGTGTGGCCAATCATAACATCGGATTCGCTTTATTATACCCATTGGAGGACACAGCCATATAAACCACGCTCGGCACTAAAACTTATCGTTCAGCTAACACAGCTAAAACAATTAAGCACTAGAGGAGGGGGGTGGGGGCTTAATTTAGCGTTTATAGTGATTGTTATTATTATGATTCCTTACAGGAATGATGGAACGTGCAGATCCGGAGGGGGGTGTATTGGGGAAAACCTTTCAATGTCTAATAGCCGAGCAGTTCAAACGCCTACGAGAGGGTGAGCGCTTCTGGCATGAAAATGCGCCCAACGGAATACTAAACACGACAAAAACAGCTTTCACGCAATGCCAACTGCAAGAAATAAGAAGAGTAACATTGGCCAAGATAATCTGCGACAATGCTGAGAACATCCCTTCTATTCCCAGGAGGGTATTGCAACAGTCAAAGATATTCGTCGAATGTTATAAGCTGCCCGAAATGGACCTGAATGTGTTTAAACCAGGTTTCAGATGTCGTGGGACAAGGTATGTTTACAGCTATCACTGGTTTGAAAACAATTTTATCTAAATTACGTCTGATCTATGATTAACTGTTTTTAACTATTTTATTTCCCGAAAGAGCCAAGAGTGACGCCCCAGAGGATGAAACTGACGAAATTGACACTCAAGAGGATGAAATTGACGAAGAATTTACTGAATAATCCATCTACGAAAATGAAATAATTCATTGGCTTCTTGGCTCCGATTCGAGGATTTGTACTTTGTTAGAAAACAGTTTAGGTTAAGTCTACTAGTATATAATTTTTGAATTTATTTGCGCAGGAAGTAGAGAGTGGTTTGAGGAAAACTGATTAAAATTCTTGCAATGCAATAGGATAATGTGCACGGATAAGCCTGTCTGCGAAACTTAACACTTCTTTGTAATTGACTCTGCTGTTTTCAAACTCACAGGGGATGGTGCCCTTATTTTTACCAGTCTTAGCCTAAAAGATTTTGCCATTGGTAGATCTGAGAGGCATTAAGCTGTTGTTATTGTTGCTGTTGCTCGTAGTTTTTATGTAGAGAGGTTTCATTACACAAAACTATTTAGGTCAATCATTTTGGAAGCTCGCCGTATTTCTATTTAGATATCAATACAAAAAACTTCACTGAGGCATCAATCAGTGTCACGTTATTGACTATGAACATCTAAATGCACAGCTGATCACTTTTCAAGTAGACGCCCCTGAGTCTAAATTCACCAGCTTTATGACCCAGCTCTCTTAGTGGCTTAACCACTACACCATAGCATCAGTTAGTCAACCAGACGATTTGACGAGACGCTGCCCTGTATCTGCGTTTTTTTTTTTTGTTTTCTTTTAATCTCATTAACGCGTAAATTGATGTTTACGTTTTGCGCAAACAACCAACGACGTGCAACACTCAAATCCCCGCTAATGAGCAACGTAAAACATCCATAAACTTCTAAAGGTTCGTCATAGATATATTTTTGATGTACATTTGGTATTATCTAACAACTCTAAAACACGATTTCTACCAATTCATTCATAAAACTAATCAACCAGACGGTTTGACGAGGCGCTACCGTGTATCTGCGTTTTTTTTGTTKTCTTTTAATCTCATGAACGCGTAAATTGATGTTTACGTTTTGCGCAAACAACTAACGACCTGCAACACTCAAATCACTGCTACTTAGCAACATAAAGCATCCACAAACTTCTAAAAGTTTCATCATAAATAATATTTTGACGTTCAGTTGGTATTATTTTACAGCTCTAAAACATGATTCCTGCCAATTCATGAATAGAACTAATCAATCAGATGATTTAACGAGGCGCTATCATGTATCTGCGTTTTTTGTTTTCTTTTAATCTCATGGACGCGTAAATTGATGTTTACGTTTTACACAAACACCTAACGACCTGCAACACCAAACCACTGCTATTTAGAAACGGATAGCATCCGTAAACTTTTAAAAGGTTCATTATGAATCATTTTTTTGATGTTCATTTGGTATTAGCTTACAGGGCTCTCCTTCCAGCTCTTATGGAACGTCAAGTAATCGAACAATTATGCGTAGAATCAGTTTTTCAAAATTATCCTTTTTGTGTTAGGTGATCATTTGATCGGATTAATTTTTTTAGGAAGCAGTCATTTCCATAGTTTTTTATGCTGGAGAATTTGTGATTTTCTCAAACCCTTGTCCAATTTCTAGAGTATACTTAAGTGCGTAAAAGATTTCGTAAGGCAATCTTTCAATAAACCGTGGTCAGTTACATTTAGAAGAAAGTTAGTGTGGTGGGAGATGCGGTTTATTTCTTATACGACCGCACTTTTCCTAGAAGGAAGTCCCTGGTTGTTTGCGAAAAACGCTTCATATAATATCTGCGTTTATTTGATGAAAAAGAAATGCTGCTGTCATTTTCTATGAGGGTTATTAGCTTGTTTTGACAGTAATATTCTTGACTGCGCTGGTAGAAAATGAAATAGAAATTTATCGACAGCTACACGAACAAAAGCTTAACATAGCCATGGTGAGGCTTTTGCGTGTGTCTGGCGATAGCGGAAGAAGTAAAAGTAAAAAAGCTTTGCTTTCTGGTAAGCTTGAACATAGCGGGAAAAATCAACGAAACACTGCGGTGAGCCATAGCAGACTCTTCAGCTTAAAGGTGTCTTTACAAAGTTCAATCACGTATTTCTGGTTTGCAACACGAAATCATTAGTCCATCGATCGTATCCATGACCCTATTCTCCAATGCAATAGAAGTCGTTAGATTATCAATAAATTGTTAGTTAAAATTATGAGAATCAGAGTGTAAGTCTTTGCATTCTCTTGCCTCAACCTGGAAGGAGATTGACGGCAAATTAGGCAGGTCAACATCTAACGTCATAATGCTCGTTTAAGTTATATGATTAAAAAAAAATGGATCATCTGCCACCATTACAATCAATGAAAAAAGGGAAAGCGAATTTAAAATTCTCTTTAACAACGTTTAACAAATTCTATTATGGTGCTGCTTCCGACGCGGAAGACGAACTGCCTTTTTCGTAAATGCAGAAAAAGCAATTTTTTTGTGTGTCTCTGTTTAAGAGTCGATAAATAAATGACCATTGTTTAGAAAATCAATTAGACTAATTGCATCTAAAAGTACCAAAATAGAGAGACACAAAGGCCCCTGGGAGTTCCTGTTTGAGGGGATAAAATTAGGGCTTTCAAGCCAGAAAAGCTAGAGCTGTTTGGTAGTTTCATTACGAAGAATCAAACCGTATCAAAGGTAAGAGCGCACTTCGTAAGTTTGTTATTAACACCAATAATTACACCACTATTTTAAACATTTTAATCAACTTTTAAGTCAGCGAAACGCTTCGTCTTTGAGCGTCAAAACAGACCGGAAACATTTTCGAATAAGTTCCTGTTGAGGTCGGATTAAGTTGAATATTTTGTTCCTTTTCTATCGGGAAGAGTCCACTGTCTTAATATGAAAACGGAACCACAATCACTCGATTTTGTTAGCCCTTTTAAGGATATCAGTGACGATCGGAAGGCTAAAATGAAAATTTAAACTCATCAATAAACGCCTAGATGCTACGTTTAATCAAACAAGACTTTATTCTTAAAAAATCGCTCTCTTCAATCGATCCTGTAGTTATGGACTTGTTAGTCCCGCTTTTCGTAGCGACTTGCGAGCTCTTTCGTCTGATCTACAGCCTGTTATAGATGCATTGAATACTACTCGCTATGGGAAAGGTCTTTACCGATGATCGATTAGAGAACAGACACGTTTTATATAAAAAAGAATCGGGTTTTACAAAAAACTGAATTTAACCTAACGGTTTACGAGTTCCAACTGAAGATTGATAGGTTGTTTTTTATAATGGGGGGATATATTTCGCTGTTCAAAAAAAAGAAAGTTCATAGCATTTCCGAATGCCCAGTTTAGTTATTCAAGACAGTCGCTAAATGAAGGAAACAGACCATAGAGACACACACAGCTATTTTGCAACTTGATTGAGGTAGGTGAGTTAAATCGAACAATTAGCGGACGAGCATTCTACGATAAAATTTGTTTAATATATACGTATAACGACTGGTTTGATTTGTTTGACGATACCGGAAGTAGAAGGAGTAAAGGAAACAAAAGGACCCGATCTCCGCGTTATCCGTTATTTTTTCTGTGATCACCTTTCTTCAAACCTTATATTACATTCTCTTGAGAGTTGACCATCGAGTTTAGTTTTACCCCATCACCATTGCATTTATTTCTAAACTCTGAACGCGAGGCGTTGAAGTTGACGTTAAAAGGAAAAAAAACCAAAAAACCAGCAAGTTTCTTGTTGAAAGAAAACCACAAGCAAAACTCAGACTGAGCCAAATCAACCCCAAATAATGTTACTATAGTATTCATGCCTAGAAAATAGAAATTAGTAAATTTCTTATGGAATTCAGACTGCTAAAGTAATCTTGGAAGAGAAAACTATAAAGCTATGCAAGTGACCTAAAGTCGTGTATAAATAACTTGACTGAAAAAAATTATCACATTAAAAGCCACAATGGCCCTTAAGAGTTGCTAATGTTTTAAACCAGTGAAGTTGAAGCCGTTTGGAAGTTCTCTTGCGAAGATTTAGACTGTCTGAATGTAAGAATAGCACAGTTAGTTATGAATACCAATATTTAAATGACTGTTTCAAACGCTTCTTTATTAGCCTTATAAACCTTTAAGTCTGTAAGCATTGTTCTCTAGCATCAAAACAGACCGGAAAAATTCTCTCAGGGTTTCGGAATGGGTTCACTGCTAAGTATCTTCTATTTCTTTACGTTTTGCACAAACAACTGACGACCTGCAACACTCAAATCCCTGCTAATTAGCAACGTAAAGCATCCATAAACCTCTAAAAGGTTCATCATGAATCATTCTTTTGATGTTCATTTGGCATTATCTAACAATTCTTAAACGCGATCCCTACCAATTCCTTGATCAACCAGACGATTTGACGAGGCGCTACCGTGTATCTGCGTTTTTTTTTTTTTTTTGGTTTTCTTTTAATCTCATGAACGCTTAAATTGATGTTTACGTTTTGCGCAAACAACCAATGACCTGCAATACTCGAATCACTGCTAATTAGCAACGTAAAGTATCCATAAATTTCTAAAAGGTTCGTCTTAAATAGTTTTTTGATGTTCATTTGGTGTTATCTAACAACTCTAAAACACGATTCCTACTAATTCGTTCATAAAACTAATCAACCAGACGATTTGACGAGGCTTTACCGTGTATACCTGTAAACCACGCACTGTCAAGTTGACATCCTTAAATGTCTGCCGTACATTTCTCATGGTGTTGGTTCGGGAAATTTGTTAATAAATCAAATAATACACCCTTGTTGATATATTTCTCTATTCTTGTCACCTTTCTGCTTGAGGGAGTACTCATGTTGTGTGAAGAAACTACTTTTTGGTTATTCCAAGTATTGAAAGGTTTCATAAACCATGGGCACATCATTATAGAGAGTATCCTGTTCTGGTGTTTGTGGAACGTATTCCTGTTATGAGCCTACCTAACTTAACTTATATTTAATAACTCTTTTCTCTTCTTCCCAATGATACACATTTCATAACACACCAAAGAGACACAAACCCACGACTGCTGTGGCAACCAATTGTTCGTAACGCATCAAGCGTCATCCGTTGTCTAGAACTGAAGACACACATCTCAGAGGATATGTAGTTCATGGGTTTAACGGACCGAATAGCGCACAAGAATTCTACATTAGAGTTTGTTTAATTAATACATAAAACCACTGGTTTGGTTTGCTTGACGATAGCAGAAGAAGTAAAGGAAAGTAAAGGCTTTCCTGACTAAAACAGCCTCTTTGAAAAATGCTGATCTATATTTCTCTGATTACTTTTCTTGAAACCTTATCTTACATTCTCTTGAGAGTTGAGCGTCGAATTTTCTTTCACCTAACCAGCGTTTATTTTTAAATCTGAACGCAGGAAACTGGAATTGACGATTCTTTACGTTTTACGCAAACAACTAACGACCTGCAACACTCAAATTACTGCTAATTAGCAACGTAAAGTGTCCATAAATTCCTAAAAGGCTCGTCATAAATAATTTTTTGATGTTCGTTTGGTATTATCTGTCAAATCTAAAACATGATTCCTAACAATTCATTCATAGAACTAATCAACCAGACGATTTGACGAGGAGCTAACATGTATTTGCGCTCTTTTTTTTTTTTTTTTAATCTCATGAAAACATAAATTGATTTTAATGTTTTGCGCGAAACAACTCAGTTACGACCTGCAACACTTAAATCACTGCTATTTAGCAACTAAAGCATCAACTAACTTCTAAAAGGTTCATCATAAATCATTTTTTGATGTTCATTTGGTATTACCTTATAGGGCTTTCCTTCCAGCTCTTATGGAACATCAAGAAATCGAATGATCATGCGTAGAATCGGTTTACCTTGAAGGTTTACAAAATCATCTCTTTTGTGTTAGGTAATCAGTTTAATCAGATTAATTTTTTTAAGGATGCACTCGTTTCTATAGTTTTTGATGCTAGAGTTTACTTAAGTGCGTAAAAGATTTCGTAAGGCAATCTTTCAATGAACCGTGGTTTACATCTGTAAGAAATTGTAGTATCCTGGAGCCGTTTTTTTCTATGTCGACCACAATTTTCCTTAAACGAAGTCCCTGGTTGTTTGCGCAAAACGCTTATGACGCGTTTATTTGATGAAAAACGAATGCTGCTATCATTTTCTATGAGTGTTATCAGATTATTTGACAGCTTGTTCAAACATTAATATTCTTGATTGCGCTGGTAGAAAATGAAATAGAGATTTATTGACAGCTACACTGACAAAAGCTAAAGAAAGCCTTCTTGTCAAGCCATAGATAGCCATGGTGAGGCTTTTTCGTTTGTTTGACGATAGCGGAAAAAGTAAAAGGAAAACAGCTTTGCTTTCTGGAAAGCTTGAACATAGCCGGAGAAGTCAACGAAACAAAGGGTGTGGAGAACCATAGCAGACTCTTCAGCTTACAAGTGTCTTTTACAAAGTTTGATCTAGTATTTCTGTTTTGGAACACGAAATCATTATTCCATCGATCCTATCTATGACCCTATTCTACAAGGCCTAGAAGTCTTGACTGAGCTTATCATTTAATTGTAACTGAGTTCATCATTTAGAATTATGAGAATCAGAGTGTAAGTCTCTCCATTCTATCGCCTCAACCTGCAAGGAGATTGACGGCAAACTGGGCAGGTCAACGTTTAACGTCGTATTGCTCGTCTGAGTAATATCATCAAAAAAAAAAAAAGATCATTTGCGACCATTACAATCAATGAAAAAAAGAAAACCAAATTGAAAAATTCTCTTTAACAACGCTTGACAAATTCTACCATAATACTGCTTCCGACTCTGCTAATGCGTAACTTTTTGTAAATATTTTTGACGAACTGCCTTTTTTTTTAAAGCACAAAAAGCAATTATTATCATTTTACGTGTTTAAGAGTCGACAAATAGATCAGTAGCTATTGTTTTAGAAAATCAATTAGACTAATTGCGTTTCAAATTACCAAAATAAAGAGACACAACGGCCCCTCAGAGTTCCTGTTTGAGGGTATAAAGTGAGGGCTTTTAAGCCAGAAAAGCTAGAGCTGTTTAGTAGTTTCATTGCGAAGAATCAAACCGTCTTAAAGGTAGAGTGAACTTTGTAAATTATTTGTTAATACCCATGATTACACCAATATTTTGAACATTTTAATCAAATTTTAAGTCAGAGAAACGCTTCGTCTTTGAGTATCAAAATAGACCAGTAACATTTTCGAATAAGTTCCTGCTGAGGTCAGATTAAGCCGAATATTTTGTTCCTTTTTACGTATCGGGAAGAGTTCACTCTCTTCATATGAAAACCGAACCACAATCACTGCATTTGTTAGCCCTTTTAAGGATACTAGTGACGATCGGAAGGCTAAAATGAAAATTTAAACTCACTGATAAATGCCTAGATGCTACGTTCAAACAAGAAAGATTTTATTCTTCTTAAAATTTCGCTTTCTTCAATCGATCGTGCAGTTATGGTGCCATAACTGCGGAACTAACAAGTTATATGGTGCCATATAACTTGTTAGTCCCGCTTTTCGTAACGACTTACGAGCCCTTTCGTCTGATTTAAAAAGACTGACTGAGTTTAACCCAACAATTTACGAGTTCGAACTGAAGATTGTAAGATTTTTGTCTTTTTTTTTATGCAAAAACCTGATCTCCACGTTATTTGCTATTTTTTTCTCTGATTGCCTTTCTTCAAACCTTATATTACATTCTCTTGAGAGTTGAGCATCGAATTTTGTTTTACCTAAAAAGCCTAGTATCACCACTGCATTTATTTCTAAACTCTGAACGCGGGTCGTTGGAATTGATGTTAAAAAGAAAACAAAACAAAATATCAGCAAGTTTCTTGTTGGAAGACAACCCCGAGCAAAACTCAGCAAGAAAAATTACGAGATGAATTTAAGGTACATTTTGTTCCTTTCCTTTCGAAAATAATAAGTTGTTCGGCTTTTACATGGAGACCCGACCGTATTCAATGGATATTAATTATCCTTCTCTGCCTGGGGATGAGCGCAGCGTTAACATGAACATTAACACGTAAACGCAAACAAAACAAGACTATTTTTCATCGATCGATCATGCAGTTATGTTACCACAGTGCTGACGTACGAGTCACCCTTTTCATACCTACTAAGGAGGTCTTTTGTCTGATCAAAAGCTTGATAAATTATGATATGATTTGAATACAGCTCACTCGATGAAGCCATCTTTGCCAATGATATATTAGGGCAATGACACTCTGCATCTATTACGAGTATTATAAAGAAACTTGCTTTGAATGCACTCTGACGTAAAGATAACCTTTTGAGATCAGGGCTTGCGTTTGAAGTTTGTATTGATTTTTTTCCTTTTTGCAATATATCGCTGCTCATAACAAACCCATTGCGTTCTTCCGTATTGTGGTTGAGCCCAAGGTCAAGACGCAGTCGCCAAACAAGCTTACACACCTTAGGAAATGTCACCCACAGCTCATGTCCCACTTCCTTGTTCGTACCATATATGTGGTCTATGACATGATAATAATAACTCTCTTACCTATATTCCTATATTGCGCGAAACTCACTTGAATATGATCTAAAGCACTTCAAATTCTGTTCAGTTTTAATCTCAGTATCACTGAACACACATACGGAAAACGAAATGATCAATATGGGCGCGCGAGAATTCTACAAAATCCAATTTAGTTTGGTTTGTCTGATGAAAGAGGAAGAAGTAAAGGAAAAAAAAAGTTTTCTGGACTTTAACGGCCTCTTGACAAAAATCTGATCTCCATGGTACTTGTTGATATTTCTCTGACTACCTTTCTTCAACTTTATTTCATTGTTTTACTTGACCTAACATTACCGCCGCGTTTTTTTTTTAAGCTTATAAAAGCGGAAAATAGTGTTGACGTAAAAAAAAAAAAACAACAAAAACAGCGAGTTCCTTGTTGGAACACACCTACCTTCTAAAGTAAAAAAAACTATTGAATTAGAGCTACATTAAAGCGTAAATAGAGTTTTTATGACCCTAGAATAAATTGAAGTCAACATCTTTTGGGATTTCAGATTGCTAAACTAATGTTAGAAGTGAAATTTACTTGGCAGTATGCAATCGTTTTAACAACAACCCTTCTAAAGAGCAACCTTTTCTAAAAATATACTGTGATATAAATCAAGTATTTTCCCAGTCTAAAGAATAGATCAATAAAAAAAACTATTGTTTTGGGAAAATATTTATTCAAATTGCATTCAAAATAATCGCAACAAAAGACACAATGAACTGGTAAAGTTCCTGTTTCGAGCTATAAGACCGAAAGGTTTTAAGCCGGAAAAGTCAGAGCTGTTTGGTTGTTCTATTTCGAAGAACCAACTGAATTGAAGGTAAGAATGGATTGTGTGCTTTAGTCCTCAGTATCAATAGCTTCATCAATATTTCGTACATTTTTTATTAACTTTAAGGTCTGTGAGCATCAAAAAGTCTTTACAACTTTGGTTTAAAAGCATCGCTCTCGCCTCATAATAAACAGATGAAATTATTCCAAGGGTTTCAGAATAGTTTCCAGACGAGATAAGATTAAGCGATATCGTGGTCGTTTTCATTCGATGAGAATCAGTTGTTCTCAAATTAAAGACGTGATCGTAATTACTGGTAAATTGCCTTTTTAAGGTTATTTGAGATGATCATAGCGTTAAAAAGAATAGTCAAGTGTGAACCAAACCGGCAATGACTATGTTTAAATGACCAAGATTGAATTGGCTTTTACTAACTCAATCATGCAGCACTAAAAAAACGGTGCCAACTTTCTTAGGGACTTGCAAGGCCTTATGTCAGACCGATAATCCGTTATCAGAATGAACCGGATAATACTTCCTCAGTGAAAGATCTTTGCCAATGAATTATCAGAGCATCGACTTTTGGCTTTATTTACAAGTATAAAAAAGAAACTGGTTTTAAAAACAGGCTAAGCTAAACCTTAGCATTTTTCGAGATCAGAAACAGAACGAGAAGTTTATTTGTTTGTTTGCATTTGATTTACTTTCGATACTTAGCTGTTAAGGAGGAAACCATTGATTTTTTCGTATTGCAGCTCAGTCAAATATCAAGGCAGTTGCCAAAATATAGTAGCTCACATAGTAAGGAACAGTCGCCCATATCTATTGTTCAAACCAAACTGAGAGAACAATTGTGATTTATAACTTGAAACACGCGGAAAATGAAGTCGATGGGTTGTGAATGGCCGATAAAAGCTCGAGAATTCTAGAAAAGAATTTGTAAAATGTTTATTGATGTAGTTGGTCTGTTGACTACAGCGGAAGAAGATAGACAAAAGATTTTCCCGACGAAAACCTTGATGTCGATGGTATTTCGCTGATAACCTTTCTACGACTTCAGAGTTTAGTATCGCTATTTTGTCTTAATTTAGATAACATTACGACTGCGTTTTTTTCAACCCATGAACGCGGAAATCAGAATGGACCTTTAAAACAAACCAACGACTAACGGAATTATACATGCCTCGAGAATAAATTTTGGTAAACATCTTTTTGGACTTCGGATTGCCAAAGTAATCTTGATAGTAGAAAATGTTAAACCGTGCAAGTGTCATAAGGTCCGCATGCATATTTATTACACGGAAAGACATAAAAGTTCAAGATTATAATAAATGAAACCTAACTTATGCTTGCAGAACATTTCACATTTACGTTTAGAACATTTTTCCATGTATCCTAAGCTTTAAGGTGCGACCATTGAGAACTTCTAGGCAGAATAAAAAACGTGCATATATTAACGAAAAAGTATATGCAATAGAGAAGAATGGCCTTATACGAAAATTCTTTTACTAAGCATTTCAATAAAACACATGCAAATCGACTTTCAATTCTTGAAACCGTCTAAACGTTTTAAAAGCTTACACTGCAATTAATTGGCATGCAAAATTTCTTTACCTTCGTTACCAGTTACCATAGACCCTTGTCCTCGCGGCAATTAATAATTTTGTCAGCTACATGGGATTTAGCAACAAAGTTTTGCTTACTTCAATTGGAGAACGCCGCCATTAACACCTTCGTTATAGCCACACATGAAGCCTTCCTTCCACGATATACTTGGTCAGGTCATATCACCGTAAGTACCATCGATGGTTTCCTGTCGGAAAATATGAAAACTCTCCATATTTTCGCTTTCACAGGCCATAGATGTAACGACGAGTTTAAATCTGCAACGACGATTGCCAAAGTCGTACGTCGGAGCATGCGAAGATGTCTTCGGCGTTTGTTGCTAAAACATTTCATTGATAATTCCTCGAAGCACTTTCAATGAGTTGTCCAGATGTGTTCTTATGCAGATTTTCCGCTATAATTTTTTGACTATTTCTTTTAAATTACCGTGTCAGTCACAAATTTGCAAAGAGTTGCTCTAATTTTTGGAGAGTCATGACCTAAGTGACATTTCAAGCGCTGGTGGCCTTGATCTATAAAAAGATCGAATTTTAGTGGTTTTCTTTCAGACGCTACTCACCTCTATTTTAAAGAATTAAGTGTTAATCAAGCTTTATGTTGCTATGACGCAGAAATCACCAAGGAAAGAATCTAGCCCTGCGCTAAAAAAGAATCAGAGCAAGTTTTTGAAATATGTATTCTGCAAATATGAAAGATGCTAACCAAGATTTCACGTTCACTTTTCAAAGACTGAGTTTCACAAATTGATTTTGCTGTTTAACAACAGTCATATTTCGTGGGATTACGCACGGCATATCACTCAAATCCAAGGGGAACAAAAAGGATTTACTAAGAGAATGTTGCGGTCAACAACTATTTAGCAGTAATAAATCAGTTATGAATTAATTGAGCTTTATGTGGACTGCCTCAAGTTTCTTTATCCATCTCTTCATTAGACAACATGGCAGGACGTTTACTCAGTGCTTTACTGCTTCTATTGGTTCTGGGATTAGATCAGGGATCCTCTTCTGTTTTAAATGACCCAGACTGGTTAGGAGACACCTACAGCCCAGCAGACGTGACGGATGACCTTGTCGAGCTGAAAGACCGGGGCAAGGAGCAGGTGCGAGATAGCGTGCCAATCAATGTCTGTGAACAGATCAAAGCTGAATTCAAAGCCGTGGCGAAAAAATCTATGGTTGAAGCTAAAAAAGAAAAACTAAGGAGAAAGGCAGCATCTAGTGCAGGTCTCAGAAAATTCTTTCAGATACTACAACATCTTAAAAGATCAGTGGTTGACGACGCGAAAGTGCTTAGGTCGTTACAGAACGAAGCTTGTGTCAAATATGCCATACGAGACATTTGTGCGACGAGGAAGGTTTTGGATCTTTTAGGAATACCTCCAAAGGGGTAAGTGTTCCCAGCAAGAGAACAGAAAAAGACGTTCACAGTCAGCCCTTCGGCAAAATTTGGATTCTTAAGGTTACTCCAAACTTTTGCGGGTCAACTTTGGAGGAAAAAAATTAATTTTTTTCCCGGCCATTGAATCGAAGTTAATTACCTAAATTACATTATTAGAAATATTAACTTAACGTCTTAAAACACGTGTGAGTAATTGAGAAAAATGTGTTTTCATACAAAAAGAGTTAATAACTTTTAAGGCGTCATGATCTCCGTTAGGTGGGAACTCCTTAACGGCCTTTCGGCGGCAAACAGCTTCTCCGAATTCAGTCTTAATTGAACTCCGCTCAGTCATATCACTGTTACTAAAAACTGTAAAGACACCCGCAAGGTTTTGGATAACCTTAATTCCTTATTAACTCTTTTTTAAACGAAAATCTGAACTCTTTCTCTCAAGAAGATATCTTACTATATAACTTACACCCATCCTTTCTTTTAAACGACATTTGTTACGTAGAAACTGAAAAAGTAAATCCAATCCGAGTTCACGGGACCTTAAACTTCCTGATAACCTAATTTTCCTTTATGTTGACGACTTCGTGTCTTCCCTACTTTACTGCGTTTTGAAATTTCTTGTGGTGTTTGAATTTCTAACAAAACTATGTCAATAAACAATCCGTATTTGCTTTTTTTTCCAGGAGACTCGCAGAAAAGATATGCAGGAAGAAGGTTATTGAATGTTTAGAGCACCGACCGTTAAAGGACATTAAATGTCCAGATAAGTCTGAGGAGGATGCCCGATTTAGAACGATTAATGGAACTTGCAATAATGTGCGTTATCCCTTTTTTGGAGCAGCCCATACTCCATTCAGACGAGTACAACCAGCTGATTATGAAGATATGGTCTCGTCACCTCGTGTGGCACAAAGTGGAGACAAGTTACCCAACGCGAGAAACGTGAGTCGTTTTGTCCATGGCAGCAATGCAGACCGCCAAAACCCTGATTCTCCAAGGCTGACACACTTGGCCATGAATTGGGGTCAGTTTATGGACCATGACATAACACTGGCAGAAACTCAAGGAGTTATTTGTGAAACTGTGCCCTCTATCGAGCCAGAGTGTTTCAACGTTGAGGTTCCGGCGGATGATGATGTCTTCCAGAGGAGGGAAGTTAAATTTTTCGAAGTGATTCGAGATGCTCCCCATGAGTTTAAACCAGAGTGTTCTCCAGGACCAAGAGAACACACCAACATAATAACAGCTTTCATCGACGCTTCCAACGTTTACGGCTCTAACGAAGAGGAGGCCGAAGAGCTTCGAGCTCCCGACGGTACAATGAGAATTATGAAACCTACTCACGGCTGCCCTTTGGGTGATCTCTTACCTGCAGAAACAGATCCTGAGATACCATGCGTATCAAGAGATCCTAACAGACCTTGTTTCGTAGCCGGAGACGAACGTGTGAACGAGAATCAAGGTGAGGTCGACAAATCCTTTCATTCGCTTACCTGTTCAAGATAAAAACAATTGTCAAAGGTTGTGGTATATCGACCTTTTTTAACCACGTCTATAGCGTATTCCGGTAGAATATTTACAATAAAATTGTAGAATATTGTTACTTCCACACATGTAGACAACGCATTGTCAAGTTCACACCCTGAAGGTTTGTTCACAGACTCAGACGCGACTTAAGTGATCAAATTGCACATACGCCCTTTTTAACGTCTTTCGTCGCAAGATCTCAATACTATTACTCCTTAAATGTCTGCCGTACATTTCGCATGGTGTTGGTTCTTGGAATTTGTTAGTAAATCAAATAATACACCCTTGTTGATATATTTCTCTATTCTTGTCATCTTTCTGCTTGAGGGAGTACTCATTTTGTGAGGAGAAACTACTTTTTGGTCATCATAAACCATGCCCACAGCATTATAGGGAGTATCCTGTGCTGGCGTTTGTCGGACATCTTCTTGTCACAAGCCCTTCTATCTCGCCCTATATTGAATAACTCTTTTATCTTCCTCCTAATGATATATATATTTCATGGATACAACAGGTCTTATGTCAGTTCATACTCTGTTCGTCCGGGAACACAACCGAATAGCAGAATTTTTTGGTAAAAACACAGATTGGGAAGCAGAGCAGATCTACCAGGAGGCCAGGAGAATCGTTGGGGCGGAATTACAAGTTATTACCTACAACGAATTTCTGCCACTGCTTCTCAGCCCCAAAGCTGTAAGTACAACCATTTCAATCTCTGTTTTTTTTTTTTTTTTTTCAATTTTTTCTCTCTCAACTGACTTTTTTTACTATTGCCTCCCTTTGTTTTGTAGATCAGAGACAACAATCTTGCTCTGCTACAAGGAAGACAGTATTTCAATGGTTACAACCCTGGCGTAAATGCCCAAGTGTCCCAAGCCTTTGCTGTGGCAGCTTACCGATTTGGCCACAGTTTGGTTCAAGAGGAGTTTCTACGTTTTACTCAAGAGGGTTTTGAACACAAATGCAGCAAAGATTCTATCTCAGAGTACTCTCCCATCCCAGTACTGGACTTTGGTAATCCAACCTACCTATATGATAAGTGTAATGGGGGTGTCGATTCCATCTTTAGAGGCCTGGTGAAGAGTCCCGCAGCCAAAGTTGATGGGTGAGTAACAGATGATTTTTACCACTTTCACTCCCAAGATCTTATTAGTAACTCTCCATACGGTCTGCTATACAACTCTTACGTCATTAGTTCGGAGAATTAGGTATTGAATCAACTAATAATCCCCTAATTGATATATTTTTATTCTCATCACCTGTTTGCTGGATATTGTACTGATATTGTAAGGAGAAATTCTGTCTTGGTCACTCGTGGGAGTTAAAAGGTTAATAGAACATTCTTGTTCGCATCTCTTGTTTGGAAAAGGAGAGCCATAAGATACGTCTTTATCCAAAGAAGGATGGGGTGGGGGTACGGGGTGGGATGGGGAGAAGGGAGGGAGGTAGGGGTGGGGGGAAGGGAGGGGGATACTTGGAGGACGAAAGATGAGGAGTGGTAGTTGTGCGAAAAACAAAACAGTTAGTCAGAAGTCAAAATCGAGCATAGATCCCTACTTATGAGTAGAATTATTAGTAACCCAATACAAGATAATGATTCTCAGGATTGTTCCTTGGGTTGACCTGATTCTCTCTCCAGGCGTTTTTCAAGTTCTGTACATGAAAACCTGTTTCGAGGCCCCGGTGACTTGTCCGACCTCATATCCATCAACATCCAAAGAGGACGCGAACGCGGAGTGCCTTCATACACGACATATCGAAACACGTTTTGTAAAATTACACCAGCAGTGAACAGCTTCGAAGATCTGAAAAAGGGTGGAATTGGCCAAAAAGATATAAATAGCTTGAAGTGCCAGTACCAGTCAGTACAGGACATCGATCTTTTTGTAGGAGGTATGTCTGCGCAGGCCCAATGCCGCCAAATATCGTTTTTTGATTGTGTATTATGAATTCGAAACCAAGTTCAAAGTAATCATAACAGCCAATCAGAATAAAATAAAATATTATAAGGAGCCAATAAGAACTCAAAAAAGGAGGTAGGGGTGAAGCAAGAAAACTGATTGAAGTTTACTTTTTGATGCCCTGTGAGTTTTTTAGACCAATCATATCACAGAGCGAAGTAAAGAAAAACCAAAGCAGCCCCAAATTACTATTTATACTTTGTGTTGAATTATTTACTGTGTATGAGGTTGAGATATCTGCATATTAGCTAATTTCCTTACTTTACGTTTTTGGCGAGCGAATCAAACTCAATTCAAAGTTTATGATAAGCTTGTTTGAAAAGAAAATTATCACATAAAAAAAAAAGAGATTGCACTGAGTAATTTCCCAATAATTTCGGTAAATTTACGGTGATTTTCTTTGTTTTGACCACCTGAAGACGTGTATGTGACTTTCTTGTTGCCAAAATGCTGCAAAAGTTTTCAACGAATGTGAACCGGGTATAGGCTCTTTGTTCCTTTTTGCGGAATCACGGTGCGGGGGAATTCCGAACCCTCCTCGCTCTGGTAGCCAATCATAACGAAGGATTCTCTTCATCATGCCCCCTCGAGGATCCAGTCAGACTTATCACGCTAGACACTAAAATACTTTTGTATTCCACTTTTGTTTAGCTTTTACAACTGAAATAACTTAGCTCAGAAGGAGGAGGGGGCGGCTTAGTATACCGTTTCTAATAATTGCTATTTGCATGACTCTTCACAGGAATGTTGGAGCCTGCAGATTCAGAGGGAGGAGCACTAGGGAAAACTTTTCAGTGTTTATTAACCGAGCAGTTCAAACGCCTACGAGTGGGTGACCGCTTCTGGCATGAAAATGCGCCGAACCGAAAACTGAACACTGATAAAACAGCTTTCACGCGTTCCCAACTGCAAGAAATAAGAAAAGTCACACTGGCCAAAGTTATCTGCGATAATTCTGAGAATATCCCTTCTATCTCCCGGAGGGTATTGCAACAGTCAAAGATACTCGTCGATTGTAACAAGCTGCCCGAAATGGACCTGAATGTATTTACACCAGATTTTAGATGCCGACGGAAAAGGTATGTTGTAACTATTAATGATTTGAAAGAAAAATTCATCTTATTTCCTTCTCAACTTTGATTAACTGTTTTTTCACTATTTTATTTTCCGACAGAGCCACGGGTGACGCTCCAGACCTTGAGGATGAAAATGACGAAGGATCGAATTAGTAACCTGTCCATGAACATGGAATAATTCATCGGCTTCTTGGTTCCGTTTCGAGGATTTGTACTATATGGATTCAGTCTACCGGTGTTTCATGTTTTAAGCTTGATTTGCGCAAGAAGTAGATAGCGGTTTGAAGAGTCAAAATCTTGAAATGGAGTAGAAGAATTTTCGTGGTTATAGCATATTTAGAAAACGTAACGCTTCTGTGTAGCTGGCTGAACTTACCGGGGATGGCGCCTTATTTTTTACCAGTTATAGCCTAAAGATATATTGCCGTTGGTGTATCTGAGAGGCATTAAGCTGTCGTTGTTGTTATTGTTTGTTTCATGTGTAATTTCAACAAGGCCATCTAGGTCAACTATGTTGGAAGCCTGCTGTATTTTGCTTTATTTATTGGGGTAGTAAACTTTATTGATGCATCAATCTTGTCTTGTTATTGACTACCAACTTACACGTGCGGAGCGAATCCCTTTTTGAGTATTGGCCTTTCAGTCTCAAAGCACAAAGATTTAGGGAGCTTTCGCAACGACGACGGCTACGGCAACGAGAACGGCAGAAAATAATAGGCTTAATTAGCAAAAACAATCGCCCTGCACGTGCGTTTAACATTTTGGTACATTTCTTTGCCGTTCTCGGCAAAACAACAACGTGAAATAACCAAACTTTAGGTTTTCTCGAGAACGTGAGCGCATGACGGTTAATTTTTCTTTCTTTCTCCTTACTTTAACGCCGTTCGTAGTGATAAAGTCCCTGAATAGTTCGCCAGCATTTTCCAAGTGAAACACATCAGAATAACCTCGAAAGAGTTACAAAAACGAAAAGTTAGATTTCGACACGCCGTTTTCGTTGCCGTCGCCGTCGTCGTTGCTAAAGCTCCCCAGTGTTGATCTAACGGCGGATGAGTATATGCGACCAGCTTTTTAATACCACTATCACTGGACTCAACAAAACGATTTTGTTTTTCTTGTGTGTTAAAAAAAAAAANCCCTCTTTTGTCTTTACCTCGATCTCTCTTGCACCTAAACTTAATCTTAGTGCTTTCGCATTAATCGATAATAGAAGGATTATCATTCGTTCGTTTACCATCTCTTGTACAAGTAGTCCTCATTAAGGTCTCAATGAGTGGTTATGAGCCAGAGTATAAGGCCCTAGCGAGTTTAGTTTAGAGGACAATCCTTTTAAGTTGTAAATGATCGGGAAAGAATTTCTTACTCATCCACTTTCCTTATAGAGTAGTCTGTTCTTCGAGCTGGAGCTTCAACCCTGTCCTAAAATACTTAGAATCTTTAGTGGGTAAATAGAAGAGTCGAGTGATTCAAAGAGTTGTAGGTCCTTAAAGCAAAAGATAGACCCGCAAGAAGCTACAAAATAACGTGAACTACGCTTTCGACATCACTCTTTATCGAAACGTTTCTTCTTTAAAACAACTCTTGTCAAAACAACTAAGAAATGAAGACAATTTTTGCGTAATCATCAACGCATTGTTGAATAAATTGGGAATTCGGTCATATTGCTCTTTCGAACACTAATTGTCCGTAGCCCACCAATGACTCGTTTACCGTTCGCTTGTCACGTATAGGAAAAAATGCATCATGGCCATGAATACAATTTTTCCTGTTTCGCCAACGACCAATATAGAGGCAAACAAATATGGACACATTGGTCACAAACCACTGAAAGAAAAGGTTTCCATTATCTAAATTGCGCCGATAGACTGACCTGTCAATTATATCCGAATAAATTCACTGAGGTGCAAATTAACTCTGAAAAAATAGTGCAAGTGATATTTGCCCGACAAACAAAGAAATGGGCAAAATATTCGTTAGTTTGATTTTGAATTCTGGAGTATCAGCAAAGTCTGGAAGCTTTGGTAGAACGTCAAACTTTTAAAAACAAAACAAAGGGCATAAATACATAATAAATGGCCACTATTCGTTCTTCCGATTTCAGTGCTGATTTTCCAGCCCTGTTGACAAACCACTCAGTAGATATGCATGAATACTCGAACTACACGACTAATGAGATAGCTGAGTAACTAAGGGTATATGTTTCCACAGTTTAGTGTTATCATAGTTAATAGAGGGTACTTGTTAGGAGACCCGGCGAAGATCAAAGGAGTATCTCTTTGTTTTCGTTTTGGCCTTGTGACGTCACCACGAGAGGGCACAGTCAACCAGCTGAATACAGAGCGCATGGGGAAGACATTGACAAGAAGCGATACTTAACGTAGATTTTTGATTATATAGAGATAATTATTGGAGTTTTATCTATTAACTATGGTGTTATGCAACATTTATGACTCTTTAATCCTTAGCAGTGACTAGCTTCTAATTTCTCCTTACAGTAGCACCCTTGAATCAAACATTAAGGTCACGGGAATAGAGGAAATGATCCCCGACTAAATAGCTAAACAAATTCTTCTTATCAACAGCTTAGAAAATATATAGAGAACAGTATGGAGAATATGCATACTGATGTTAGGGTGTATAGGGTTAGGAGAGGTGGACGAACTGAACAAAGAGGCATACGTTAAAAGACAAGAGCTCATCAGCTAAGCCGGACGCATCCTCCGATAACAAAGAGTCCAAAAACAATTTTTCCTTGAAGGATTATTTGATGTTATGTCAAGCAAACGGATAACTTGTGCCTTAAAATCAAAGAGCACACCAAATTGTTTACTTGATGGAGTAAGAAACGAAGATCACAGTGATGAAAGCCCAGCCGACTGACCGAGAACTCGTTGCTAGTTTTGGTTCGTTATCGACTTTTGTATACAAGAAAACCGTCTAAGACTCGCTTGTGCATTCTGTCTTCGCTCGTACTCACTGTATTTAAGAAGAACGATAGTGGCAGAAAATTGGCCGACGAATTGTCATATCAAATTCTCTTCAACTGCTAGGCGTGTAAATTGGAGAAGTCTGGCTTTGTTATCAAGCTAGAGTAAATTAATTTCCCAAGGAAAAACAACCGACTGAACGGCTTTCCTTTTGAATTCTAAATTTTAGACGTATAATTGCCGTGGAAGATATTTGATAGTAGTTGCTGATATCATTGTATATGCTAGTGTGCAGCATTTCATACAATGTCTTGCTCTGTTTGTTAATTTTTGAACTCTCGTCCATCCAATTGCTTTTGTATCCTTGACTTTTTCAGCATTTTATCCCTTTCTCCAAGTAAAATTATCCATGGTTCTCTGCCTGTATATCAATATTTTCGCTAATGAACTTCGGACACCCCGCTGAATATACTGCCGGCAGAATTTTACCAAAGGATAGCGTGTCAGAAACTGTTTTGTGAAAATGCGGTTAAACGATTTCGCACCGCATTGCCCAGAAAGGTCTAGAAAATATAACCCAAGCAGCTAAAAATAAACCTGTGATAATCACATAATAATATAGAAATTAAGAAATCGAATTGTCGAAGGTTTATTGATGCACGTGACAGTAATGGCAAGCAACTTCGTGTTTTCTGATTTCGTCATAATGCAAAGCAATTAGCCTCAAGATAGCGGGAAGTTGCGTCATAGCTATGTTGTTTAAAGTTAGTGATACACGACTAATCTCGAGAAGAGTGCAAAATATCGCATCAAAGAGCTAACAGCTCTTCTAATAGTTCTATGCAAAATGTTGTTCACAAAGCGAAGCTTAAAATCGACTCATTATTTATCAACGTGTAGTAAGTTTGCTCAGATTTGGGCCATCATGTGTGAGGCGCCAGTTAGCATAGTCAGTGTAGGCGTGCGAAAGTGCGAGCGAGCGTCAAAAGGCGGTGCTTTAGAAGGAAAATGGTACTTGTTTTATCGCTCGTTTCCACTCACCAGAAATCCGAATCAGGCACTTCTAATTTGTAATGTCCTAAAATATTTTTACTACGAAGCAGAATTCATGTTTTGACTTTCTCGCAAATGTTTACTGAGGCTTGTTAATCTGTTAATTAATGCTAGAATTTTTTCAAAACCAGTGCCGGACAATTCAAGGGTTTTGTTGCTCGAAGTTGCGTCTTTCGATAGATAGTACTCGTCGTTTTGGAGCCAGCAGTGATTCCTCTCGGTAAATTAGATGAAAAGTAGTTTTATTTTAACCTTGTGGAGAGATTATCTTCAGATGAGGGTAAATGAGAAACTTAGGTCAAATAAACCTTATATTATGCTATTGCACTTTGAATCAGACGATATCCTTTAGATATTTCAAAAATAAACTTAGAAATAAAACACATGTATTTGTCTCCGAAGGGCCGGGGATGTATTCCGCCGTGGAGTTGCGGTATTTTACATATTTGGTTGCAGTTTTTTTAGTGGTTTTCGCCGCATTTCCGCGGCTATTTTGATCTGTGAATACAGTATTGCATTTACAGAATACCTCAACGAGTCTAAGTGAGTCAGCAGAAACAACAGACGCAGGGCAGGTTTTTAATTTGGTCGTTTTATTTTTAATTATTTCGCGGTTTTCAGTGAGGCCCTAGTTGATGAGACCAATTTAGGACACATTATCTGCAGGTTTTCTTACTGACGATACTGCATAACCAGTAAATATCTACCAGATTCACAGGTGACTCTGATCCAGCAGTCACACGCAAACTGAAAATATCAGGAATAAACATACAACCCGCAGGGTCTCCATCCCGCGCAGTTTTGTTCAAATAAAAATCGACCCCGTAAGAGGGCCATAAATGTTACCGCGAGCAGCGTCGGAAAAAGTTTTGCGGTGCGCGCAAAGTACGAGCTAAAAGAAGAAGAGAAGAAGAAAGCACAGGTCATGTGATATTTTTCTTTCTCTGGGTTCGGTCGGGTAAGAAGGGAAACTGGTTTGGCTCTCGGTCATGATATACAGACCTCACTGCGCTGTGTTAGTTTTTCGTGAACTCAAGCCAAATAATTTCCCTCCCTTTAGGTCAATAAGTACACATAAATTTTTTGCAAGAGGCGAACACGCAAAGGTATAATTCCCGTTTCTTGACGACAATTTGCGCTACTTCTTCTTATGCCAAGATAAGGTGAAACTGTGAAAGGTGATTAGGAATACGAGTGAATAAAACTCAAAAGAAATACAATACATCAGAAATGGCATTTCCGAAATTTGTTCTGAGACTAAAGGTCTCCTAAACAGAAAATGTGTGGTTAGTCTCCACAGTTGTTGGTGACTTCTCGTAATAAATGAACGCACTTGCCGTGGAAGGTACGGCATTTCAAAAAGTGAAAAATCGAACTTTTGTAAAATTTATAGTCATCAAATACGTTTGACAACGGATAATTTACAAGAGGTCTCAAATCACAGAGGACACAGCCTTTATTTTCTAAGTGATGATATCGACACTGATAGCAAAAAAAATGGCTGTCATTCCATGTTCAAATAGCCAAGTATATGAATAAAAAATTAACTTTCTAAGGGAGAAAAATTCAGCGGTTGCGTTGGCTAAATTGGGGTCAAAGCTCAGAGAGTTTTGGTCACGGAAAAGGAAGTGATTTTTCCATGGAAATTGTGCACAACAAGCCATTGACGTATTTGCGTCAGCCAGTTAGATTCTAGCATTTTGCGCAGCGCGCACCGGAAAAAGAAGTGATTGCTACATGGAAATTGTGCATAATAGGCCATTGACGTATTTGCCTTAGCCAGTTAGATTCTAGTATTTTGCGCAGCGCGCACTAGCAAATAAAACTTCGGACGTAAAAGCATCCCACGCTAACCTTAACTAAATTCACACACAAAAAAGCTGGAAAATACATCTCACTTGGAGTCACTCAGCACGCAGTTGTAAACGAAATGTGACTGTGTTGCCGTCACGTAGGATTTGTTAGGGACCTTAAGAAACCACGACGGCGACGCCAAGGAAGACTTCGATTAAAAAATGAATTTCTACTCTTAGTTAGAATTTCAAAAATGGCTGCAGGAGCTTACTGTCTCATACAGCGCCGCAGCTCAACTTCAGCAGGACGTATAAAGTAGCCGTTGAGTTCCAAATGGAAATTAAAATAATTTGCCGTCGCGGTTTCGGTTCGCAGACGACGCATCTTTCCTACACACGTATAGTAAATGAAGTTTTCGGAATAAAAAAGAAAATAAACTTGAGAATTATCAAATTAACGAAACGCGTTATTTTGTTAATTCTATTTTTGTCAATGGTTGAGCACTACAATTTACATAACCAGGGCTAATCACAGGTAAATAACAAAAGTGTTATTTGGTGTTTTTGCGGTTTTGTCTTATTTGATGGCTTTTTTTTTCTTTTTTTTTTGGTCTTTTTTTTCTTTTTCATCAGTTTCAGCACCAACCCTACCTGCACCGCTTACCTTCTAACATCGATCATATAATGAACGCAGTAGTCTATTATAGCATCGGCCCTGCTAGTTTTTACGGATCGACTTCCGACATCTTCTGCAATCAACTCAAGCAAATATTCGTTCCAGAAATTTGGGATGTTATCAGTGTCTCTGCAAGTGCAATATCCTAGCTAAACATAGCATTATCAGAAATCGACAGGCAGTCGCTTATCGCCTCACTGCACCTTTATTTATTAAGGCAACAAGACAACAAACATGCGTCATGTACCGCAAAAAATGAGGGTTTTTGGAAATTATTTAAACCGATGCTTCCACAAAAGAGGTAACCATCATAACGTCATCTACCTGACCCAGATTTTACCACTCCTGCTTGCGGTTACCACGCAGACCGGCACAAATTATTTGTATTCATTTATCTATCCTAATTAAGTCGTAAATTAAGCAAGACTTTAAAAGCAAAGTTAAATAAAAAAAGCGTAAAGCAAAGCACAAAAATGGCACTTAGTTTTACAACATGCAGAGATCCACGGAAATTGTAACACTAACCATTAGATTTTATCTTGATAGTGTAGAAAACAGCATGCATCTTTTGCAATTGTTCATGAGAGGGACAAGTTTCCAGTTGTTATTAGTTATCATTTCAATATTGGCAGTCCGCATGCTAAAGCACGCCCTACGGCTATTCAACCGGACGAAAGCGGAAAAAGATGGAATGAAGAGGAATTTTTTTTGGGTACGAAACGAGTTTGTATGGTGACAAGAAAAGGAGAGCAATGAGCACTGTTTTCTATTTACAAACATCGTCCTCGATATCACCATCTAGTTTCTAATAACAACCTCTGAGTTAGCCAGTCCACATGTTAAAGCACGCCCTACGGCTATTCGGACGAAAGCGGAAAAATATGGAATAAAAGGGAATTTTTTTTTGGATACGAAACGAATTTGTATGATGACAAGAAAAGGAAAGCCATGAGTACTGTTTTCTATTTACAAACATCGTCCACAATATCACCATCTGGTTTGTAATATCAACCTCCGAGTTAGCACTCAAGTTTACTATAAAACGCTTTATTTTTGATAAGTTCCGCTGACCTTTCTTGTTTAGATGTGGGAATGCGGAAAATTGGACTGAACCACGGTCAGCTTCGCAATTTCCGCTTTTTGGTGGGTAGAGCGCGTCATGTGAAAAACAAGGCCAGTATCTGCGTAAAAAAGCCGATTTATATTGAAGCTAGTGATCTGTTGTTGAACGCTTTTCATCAAAAGCTCAAAACTCAACAGCGAACGGCTTGGTTCTCGCTAATTTAGACGTCAATTAGTTTGTAATTATACTAATTTGCAAACAGGAAAATTTTTCATCACCCACAGCGACAAGCAGTGAAAAAACAGACTTCATCATCATTAGAAAGTTCATCACAACCAGAACTGCAGATAAAAATTCAGAGGAACATTCCATATACATCGCATATAGAAAACGCTTTTTTATGATAATTTTACCCATCTGTTTTCCTCCTTAATGCTGTGGTAACGGGGGTGTTTGAAGTCATTAAAGTCAAGAACAATCACATCTGTTCATATTAACCTTCTAACTTTCCAAAAGATGCATTTAGAATTGGCTCAAAGATTTAAAAAAGAAGTACATGTTTTGGTTATTGACATCTTATCTATTGTTTGTATTGAAATTATCCACTCATCGGTTGTTTTTTACAACCTTGTTACAATACAGAATACCTATCCCCTATCATACTTCAAGTAGTTTTTATCGATTCTACGCTTTACTGAGAGCTATTTCGACGTGAACTTGCTGAAAGGATGCATGTCTCAAGAAAATGAAGTTAAAAATCGTAAGAATAGGTTTTTCCTTTTTCTCTTCAGTTTATTTTACGTAAAACAGAGCACTCAACCGCAATGTTAATTGAACAAAGATGCTTTTCCAACCATTTAACCTCTTTAGAATTCTAAACAATACTTAACTAAAACTGGGTTGCGACACGAAACTACTTTTTTCCTTGTAGATGTCGATAAAATTACCTCTCCCATTTGCTGTTTTTAAAAAGTGCAACATGACTGCAAACTGATACTCGAAACACCTCAGTCAAACCATAAAAGCAGCTACCCCCTGAGTTTTACCCCAAACGACTTGTTAAAACGGTTATCAGAAACGTGAACAAAACGATACCATTCCGGAAAAATCATTCACGTAGAACAAACACAATTCAAAAAATAACGTGAAAACAAATTCAAATATTGTCTCACCAAACATAATCACGTTCAATAAAATGCGTGAAAACATCGCAGGAAAAACGTTTCTGTTACGATATCAGAAACAAACGAACCTCCTCAAACAATTCGCGTGTACAAGGCCTACGTAAGGGAGTTGATGCGCCCACGAATATTCAAACAATACAAATGAGTTTGTTAATTCAAGGGCTACAAAACAAAAGGGCAGTAATGACCTCAGAAAAGTTCCGGGTTGTTGATATAAAATGAGCCGTTTAAAACAGTGGGATTTAAGTCAGAAACAGGGAGTTCTACCAGAAGCAGCTGACTTTTGAGCAGAAGAAACAGGGATTATTAGAGGTAATTAAGTTTCATGTTGGATTTTCCTATAATTTATTGAGATGAATTGCACTCTTCCTTAAGTATTTTCCAATGCGTTCGGTTCAAAAGCTGTACCACTATTTTAGTTCTAACTATGAACATACACACAAAAACAAAATTAGTTGGTTGTAATCTGTTAGTGGACGCCGAAGAGATTTCATATTTGCTCATCGAGCGTAAAAGTCTTGATGGCTTTTAAAAGTTGCATTTATGGCACTTCTTGGACATCTTTCAAACTTTTCCAATTTGTATTAGCTGACCTTACGGCGGTAAAATCATTTTGGACTTGTCGGGTTTCAGCTTTTATGAGCACATATTGAGAGTATCACCTATATTTTTACCAAATACGCCAGCCAAATCTAACTTCATCCCAACCAACATTGACTCAATGCATTTTGTTTGCCTCTGACTGTCCGCTACCCTTAAAATTCCGTTTTGTGCTTTTTTTCAGTGGAATTCCAAAAGTAATGTAAGCATTGTGAAAGCTTTTGTTATTCATGAGTGTAGTTCTTGGTAACCTTATACCCAAGTCTTTTGTCTTACGATTTTTAAGCCCAAATTTACATTCGTATAATTTATCACTGCATCGTTTTCTGAGAATTTGTTTAACATCCCCGAAGTCAATTTTCAACACATCGCCCTCACATACGATTTCTGTTAGATGACTCTAGTAAGGAAGAGCAATCGAAACAATTTCCATGAGATCCCTTTTAAAAAAGCGAAGAAAAACTTACTGAAACTTAAAAGTAGATAAAATGTTAAATCCCTCTTAAAGGCCTCGACAAAGATGAGAGTCGATCAAATTCGGTTGTGGGTTTTTCAAAGCACGACCATTTTCGTTTTCTAGGATAGTAACTACCTCCGGCATGTTGAGTGAGCAAAGCAGAGCACGAATTCCGTGCACTTTAGAGATCACGTCTCATGCGCTAGGTATTTTCATTAGGCATTGTGCGCCCAAAAAATGCATATCACTCAAACAGGAAAAAAAGTATAGTCGTTATGCTTGAGCAAGTGACTGCCAAGCGATAATGACAACAAAACACAACTTCAAAAAAATGGTCATTCGAAGTCAAACGTACACATGCATTGTTCTCGCATCCGCGCACACCTCTATACAGTAATTTTTATTTTTCTCATTCGATGCTACTTTTGTCAGAAAAAAAAAAAGAGAACCGGAAAAAGTTTCCACTCTCCCCACCCCCTTTCGGAAAAGTGAAAATGCTCGTTGCTAAATCATACTATTTTCTAGGGAGACCTCATTGGTCACATGATCCAAAATAGCCGCCATCGGATAATTTGATCGCTAAAGTAGCCAATTCTAGCTTTCCCTTTCATTAGCGTTTCTGATTATCACAACACGGTAATTAGATTCCCTTGAAGGGTCATGAATCGAATAAAAAACGTAAGTAGAGGTTCAAAGGCGAAAATTAAGGGTTAGCTTCCTTTTGATAAAATAGCAAGAATTGTTAGGGAGGATAGAACAAAGTTTTATCTTCCATAGAACAAAGTTCAAACAAAGAGGATAGAACAAAGTTTTATCTTCCATCATGCAAATGTCTTAAGAACTGTCGAACTTCTAATTTTTTTTTTTTTTTTAATGACTACTCTAATATTGTGAATCTTCTTAATTTTTTTTCTTTGCCATTGTCTCGCATCACGACCGTTTTATTACTCACATGGTCTCACACCCAAGACCTGCAAGGGGCTTTTCTTTTTTCTTGAGGAGAAAGTGTGGCAAAGCTTTTATCGATGAAATTGTTTAAAGCGCTCAACTGTCTTACCTAACCTAATACTGTGCCTTTTTCCTTTTGACTTTAGTCAACATGTTGGGCCGTATCCACGGTGGATTGGTCTTTTTATTGATCCTCGCTTTGGGGATGACATCTTCTTACATTATTGATGACCCATACCCGTCCAACAAGGAAGAGGAAACACTGGAGGACATGACTGATGAGATGACGAAGTTAGACGAGTTGAGCGTAAGGGGTATAGACAAAAAACGAGAACAACAACTGAAAAAGCGAGACGACCAGGCAGTGAGGAGGCAAATTGAAACAAAAGCTGTACTTCTACAGAAAACATGCTTGCTAGAAGCCATACAAAAATTTGGAGCGAGCAAACTGCAGAAAAAAGAAAAAAGGCAGAAACTTGCCTTACGTAAATTCTACCAAGCATTACAGCATGGGAAAAAATCTCTCCAGCCCGGCAAAGTGTGGCTTGAAGCAAAACAAAGTGAACAGTGCACTATTTGTGTTATAGAAAAACTTTGTGAGGATCAAGGAATTCTGACAGCACTCAGAGTTACTTCGAGTGGGTAAGGAAAAAAGTTATGAACTGCCTTCAATAAGAATTTCATGTTTAACAAATAGAATTTTATAAGCTTCTGATTTCTATCGTGTGAAAGGGAGTTGACGAGGGCGGGGCCAGAATCAACTATGACGCATATGGATCGAGAGCAGAAATTCTACATTCTACTATTTGTTCAAAATACCACGACCTAAATGATCTAAAGTTGCTTCCCCTTAATCTCTTCACAGTGAGGAGCGATTAAAAGAATGCAAACTGAGAATTTTTGATATATTTGAAAAAGACGAATCCCATGATGACAACATAACGTGCAATGAAAACGCTCGTTTCCGAACAGCCGACGGAACATGCAACAATTTAAAAAATCCTGGACGTGGGTCAGCGGGTGATCAATTTCTACGCTTGGTGCCCAATGCTTACGGAGACTGCGTCTCGTCACTTCGCACAACAAAGGAGGGAGAAGAATTACCGAACCCGAGGGAAGTGAGTTTCGAAGTTCACGGAAGTAACGCAGACAGAACCAATCCTGATTCCCAATTGCTCACCCACTTGTCGATGAACTGGGGACAGTTTATGGATCATGACGTCACGCTGGCAGAGTTTCCGGGTATTAACTGTGAACCTCCAACCGAAGACCCCGAGTGTATCAACATTGAAATTCCAGAGGGTGACAGAATCTTTCTGGATCGGGATATCCATGAGATTGAAATGGAGCGAGACGCACCTCACAAACCAGAGAAGTTATGCAGACTGGCTCCACGAGGACACAGCAACGTCATAACAGCCTATATCGATGCATCCAATGTTTACGGCTCAAGCGAGGAGGAAGAGGCGCTGCTCAGGGCCCCAGATGGGTTAATGAAAATTATGAAACCCGTACAGGGCTGCCCCCTCGGGGACTTTCTACCAGCAGCTCAACCCGGCACGTTTTGCCCGTCATTGGATGACAATACACCTTGCTTTTTGGCAGGAGACGAGCGCGTAAACGAAAACCAAGGTAAGAGCACACAACAGTTTATCAGAGGCGAGGAGCCTGGGTCTAGAATGAAGAAGAAGAGAAAACTCTCGTTTAAGGCTGCAAATGAAATGCCATCTTTGAAGGAACGAATAAAACTCTAGCCATACCCAGATTGGGTCCCCAGATTGGGTCCCCGTACGGGGATTCAATCAACGTTTTTTTTGAGAAAACCATAACCCTAACCCTATCGTTTTAGAATTGGAGTCTCCCGCGGGTAGTCCTTAGATAGGTCTAGAAGATGTTTGATTACAACCCAGCAAATAATTCATATCTAATAAATGTATACGGGTTCCCAAAGTCTTATAAATGGAACAATTTTCATTTAAATGTGAAAAGAAACGAGGGATTGCCATTGGTTATAAATCACTATGCTTTGCGCTTGATCTGGATGGAAAATGCCCCCCCCCCCTCCACAAATAATGCTAAACCAGTTGCGACTTAAGTCACTCATGCGCAGAAAAGAGCTGGTTTTTAATCATCCAACTAGTGAAAAAAATTAATTTGAAAGGGAGTAATTACTGTTAAGTTTACTGGCACAATTAAGACGCAAAATTTCAATTTCTCGGAGTTCTTATTGGCTTTAAACCCCTTGTAGCCTTATATATATATATATATATTAAAAACACTGAAAAGTAGTCAGTTTTTAAGAATGTGCTGATTTATTTCTTCATATTTTTCAACCTTTTTTGTCGCAGGTCTCATGTCAGTTCATACTCTGCTAATACGTGAGCACAATCGAATCGCAACTTTCTTCGGTAAAAAGACTTTATGGGGCCCAGAGCGAATTTACCAAGAAACAAGGAGAATCATTGGTGCGTACCTGCAACGCATCACATACGCTGAATTTCTGCCCTTAATTTTGAGCACAAGGACGGTAAGGAGAATACTTCATTTGGTAGCGCTACAGTAATGCTGTAATTAAGAGATAAGGCAGCTTTGTGCTCAGCGCGATTTATTCTCGGATTGCTGCAGTGTTTTTAGGTAGAACGCGGAACCATAAGAAGCTTTGCTTCACTAAAGCCTGACTTTTAACCCCACTTTGACTAGGGCGCATACTTATTGCACGCATTCTCACTCATTCCGGTTAATAGTGGGATTTAATACTCCATTTACACCCGAAGTTATATTAATACTCCATTTACACCAGAAGTTATATTAAATCAAATTAAAGGATCTCTTTGTCTCTTTTTGTCTCACTTTGTTTCTCGTTGTGTTTTTAGAGGAGAGACTTTGACCTGATTCTGGAAAGAGGGACAAATTATTTTGAAGGCTATGACCCAGAAGTTCACCCCCAAATAACCCAGGTCTTCTCAACGGCTGCATACCGCTTTGGCCACAGTTTGGTTCAAGAAGAGTTCAGACGTTTTACTCAAGATGGCTTTGAACACAATTGTGGCAAAAATTCAAAGGCAGAGTTCCCCGACATCCCAGTAAAGACGTTTGGCGATCCAACTTTCCTTTATCAACTGTGTAACGGAGGACTTAATTCTATTTTTAGAGGCCTGATGAAAGACCCTGCTGCAAAAGTTGATGGGTGAGTGAAACTTACAGAGAGCTAACTGACTAAAGAAAAGTGCTGGGAAATTTTTGATTGGCTGTCATAAAATAATCTTGGATTGCTTTGATTTTGCCTCAGTTCGCTATGTGGTTGATCCAGAAAATTCGCATTGCCTTCCAAGCAAATCAGAATGAAAACAAACACCAGTCATGACTTAGTCACGGGTCGTTTCTCACGCTAGATTTCATTTCGAGTTCTCATTGGCTCCTAGAGATGTTTTCTTTCGTTCTGATTAGCTGCTTTGGTTACTTTGGTTTTGGTATTTTAACACTCAATCGAAAAGCACTCTAATTGGGTAACATTAGACCCTTAAGGTAAGTTTGATAGGACAAAATCCCGTTCAAAGCAGAATTTGGCAAAAGCTGTAATTTATCGACCCTCCGGAGCTACGCCTTGCATTTTAAATGATCTTCTCCAGTTAGGCCCAAGACCCTTGTAAAGAAAAATATGACAATTCCACCTAACCCCTGAGAACATAAGGTGAATCAAAAAGACCATCCTCTCTCCCTGAAGCCTGACGTGGTTCTGTCAGTGCCCCGTGTTGGTAGAGCAAGATCTTACTTTAAGTGAGGATAATTTTTCCATCCTCGCGACAATTACGCCATCCAATCAATAGAGGAAGTAGATTAGTTTTGGTCAAAGTCCAAGGCCAAAGTGCGCATATCGTCCGTCGTTCCAATTTCGCTCCTTTTTACTCGGGGTAATGCGACACATAGGAACTAGTACGGTAGGGATTCGCTGGGCAAATCCCGTTGAATTAGCACGGCCTTAGGGGTCTAGGGAGAGCATGTATCTTCTTAAAGACGGGGACGTATAGCTAAATATGGCGTATCAATTTGGAAGGACTTATACGGGGATAACGGCTCAGTTCCGTTTCTTGGAATCACAGAATCATTGGCTCTTAGTACAATCACGTTAATTCTAATTAAATTCTGTGGAGTACATCAGCGAGTTCACCATAGTGTCACTTTCATTTCACTGTGCGATGTAGTCGTGGCTCCATGTTCTGAGAACTTTGTGGCAGCTTCCCAGCTTATAACGAAACGAAGCTACAGGGGCCTCTGCAGTATGAATATACGGGCCATTAACTTCCTCTTTGGCTTTCGCTTTGCTAACTTTCTTCCGTCTTGTGTAAAGACATTCTCTGATGTTTCTTTTCTCATTGTAGGCGTTTTTCCAGTGCGGTGCAAGAACAGCTCAGGCGAGGTGCGGGCGATACGTCTGATCTCATAGCCCTCAACAACAACAGAGGTCGTGAACGTGGTGTTGCCGGCTACACAGTTTACCGTAACCTCGATTTGTGCAACATTCAACCTAAGGTAAACAGTTTCGGCGACCTTTTGAAAGCTGGCTTCGATCCCAAGGACGTACAAAACTTAAAAAAAGTGTACAAACACGTTGAAGACATCGATGTTTTTACCGGAGGTAGGTTTGTGCTACTAAGAGAGCGCTTTAATATTGAATGTAGTGGAAAGCTATAACCAACACACCACGGCCAATCAAAACACGGAAAAATATCGCAAGCCAGGAGAATTCAAAGTAAAAAAGCAAATAACCTCGGCTACCTAGTTCTAACTTTAGCAATGGTAGACCTTGAACGAATTTATCGGTGCGACATTAATGCTCACGTTTCGTTCGCGAGCATTCGATTTTCACTTGCCCATTGCAGAACAATGAGTCAGACAAGAAATTCACTTATAGGCTGGAAAGCAACTGGTTAACCTGGGTGATTAATCTGTATGGGTTTCAGCTATTTAAATGTTAGCCATCGAAAGCGGCGGCAGTATACTAAAGCAAACTCACTGGTGAGCCTTCTACTCAAAAATTTAGACTAAATATAGTGTATAACTTTTTTAGATAGCTACACTCCCAGACACATTTGTTGGGGGGTACTTTCAGCCCCCCCCACCCTCATATTGTTGGTCTCTGAATTTCAATTACAAACTATCAGTAGAACAGTTTGAAAGGGGAGGGGCGACAGGCCGGAGAACAGAGCAAGTGCATTTCCAAAGCATTGACCCTACTTATCGTGTCAAGGGAAGGGGTGTGGTTATCCTGTCGCTTTTCTCGATTCTCAGTCACAATTTCTACACTCTAGAAAGACAATGAAAATCCAAAGGCTAGGAAAGTAAGAGCTGCGCTACACTACGCCGCTGTCTCTGATAATGTTTACTATTTTGCCGTTGACAGCAATGTTGGAACCCGATATGGTCAGCGGAGGACTCTTGGGGCCAACCGCGCAGTGTCTAATAGCAAACGGGTTCCAACGCCTTCGACTGGGAGATCGTTTTTGGCATGAAAACGCACCAAATGAAACCCTTAACACCGATAGAACAGCATTTACACGATGCCAACTTCGCGAAATCAGAAAAATCAGGATTTCCAAGATTATCTGTGACAACATGGACATCCCTTCTGTACCGAGGTTTGGATTTATACAGTCAAAAGTACGTGTTCCCTGTGAAAAGCTCCCAGAAGTGGACCTCGAGGTGTTCACAACAAACAGATGCAATATCCCAGCCCGTAGGTAAGACATGTATTTCATCACCCAACATCATTCATAATTGAAGTAACAGTCTGGAAGAGTAAGAAACTGGAACTGAGACGTCTGCACAGGGGTCGGTGGCCCTCACACACTCACAACTCATCCCAGTTTTCATAATAGTTAGCGATGAGAAGTATTAAACCCCGGATGGCTGGTCGTTCGCATGGTAGTTATCCAATGCCCTTTCGCACTCTTGTCCTATGTGCATTGAGGTACTTTGAGAATAAAGCGTCTTGTCTATGATGTTTTCGACAAGGAGGGCCGGGAACCTAATTCAATACCTAAATATTATAAATCAAAGATTCTACCCAAACAAGTTGTATTATTTTATGAAATAACTGTGAAACGTGAGTTGTATCTAAAGGAACCCAATCACAATGAACCCTTATCGGTTTTAAGAAGGTCTCATTGGGGTCAACCGAGAGCTGTAAAACAGCCTTAAATTTAACCGCTGGACATAAAAATTGACAAATTTTAACCGTTCGTCGCAAAAAAACATTTTTGGCGACAACACTGGAATAACGTCCACCGTTAGCCGTAAAAGCCAACCCATCAAGACCCCCTCTAAGAACATATGTTTTGAGTCCCTAGATTTCCTCTACGTAACAAACGCCCCAACGTGCTTTTCGCTTGACAACCGAAGTTATCAAATCGACCAGGAAAAAGGTCAATTTCACATCACTTATGAGAAGTTAAAGGTGCAAATTTTACATCTGATTGACTAGGAATAAATGACAGTGCCAGCGAGTCTCCCTGAAAAAATCGTATGAAATGGTCAATCTTACACGATGCGATCCTCGTGCAACCCCGCGTAGAATGGATGGCTGACTTTATAATTAACATCCGTTGCTAACCTTCATGCTTTTTGTTCTCTCTTTAGCGATAGCGTGAGCAACGATGCTGGAGTGGATGACTATCACCTCAACGATGAGTTGTAAAGGTCACACCGGTGGAAACATAAGAAAGAAGACCCATTTTTGTCATGCATTTCATTTTACATTCTTCAAATTAAGTTCATAATTTAAACGATGCATTTTTTGTGCTAAACTGATTACGTTTCCTGTAGTTGATTGGATAGCCACAATTTCCGCAATGTTGTTTGTCTTATTTTAACGTTAAGAGAAGCTTAGTTTTCTTAAATGTACTCCTCTACCTTCATGGTTTTTTCCTCACCATAAATGTCAGTCTGTTGCGATTTCGATCTCTGGCTTTAGGATTACCAATTATAGGTTTCATTAAAAGGTGCGTATTGCTTATCAAAAATATCAGCTAACGACGCATTCAACCGACCAAATGCACATAAAATGTGTTAATAATTTTAAAGGCCATTGCGGTCTCTTTTTATTTTATTATCATTTTCATAATATCTGGAACAAGTTCAATTTAGTAACCATCCGGGAATAAGTACATCGATGCTTTGTAATCATGTCTGAATACATAATAAAATAATGATGAAAAATCCTGTATCTTGACTGACGTAGAGCCATCTTATTAGAAAAGGACTCGGGAAATTTTTGGTTTTGGCTAGCAACATTGAACCTCAGGTTAGAAGGAATTCTTTTTCTGCGTGATACACCTTTATGCCGGTTTCCACCTGGAATAGGTCCTAAATATTTTGCTCCAGAAATTTACCAAGTTTTAATGACCTATGGTGATAACTACAGACGTTTATCAAATGGTGCACACAAGAAAAAGCTTAACACTGTCAGTAACTACCATGAGTGACCAAGACAGATTTTCTCCGACAGTATCAATACAATATCAAGCAGAAAAGTGATGAGAATAAACAAAAACTTCAATTAGGGATTAGTTGATCCAATACCAAACATAGAGTCTCCTTGATAACTTTAAATATTCCCATTAACTGTTTGCCGGATATTCTAGGGAGAAGTTACATGTTACTGAATCACTTCTGGGAGTTAAAGAGTTATCAGCGATCAATAATTCTACACCCACTTTAGGTTTTGGTTTGTCGACTTCTTACAATGCTGATTTCCTAAGATGTTGATATCGGATTCGGGCCGGATTTGGGTTTAAAGTGTCTTTGTCCTGGGTAGGGATTAAGCTTGGACGCACAAACCTAAAGAACGGGCAAGTTTAAGACAGCTTTCGCGATACACGACTTATCCTGTCTAAGCTTATCCCGGTTTCAGCGGCATTACTGCGACCATCCTCCCCCTCCCCCCAGAGTGGGATGTGAGGCCATCGCGGGACTATTCCCAGCATGTTTTTTTTGTTTTTTTATAATTCACCGGCACCTCTTTATGCATCTCTTGGGAGAAAGTTACTACGACAGTTGAGGGTCTTTCGAGGTGACTTGGTCCTCCAGAAATATGAGAAAGTCATCTTCTTTTTCTAACCTTAATATAATGCATAAGTTAAGTTGGGAGTTTAAACGAGATCAAAATTCCAAAGTTTTTTTATTTTGTTGGAGATCGTTCTAGAAAAAGCTGTTACAATCGGCTTCTTCTTCTCCCGAGCAGTTCAGTACAGTCACACGTTAACTGAAATTCTTTCTAACATTCCTTAAGACACAAACATACCTATCTCAACAAAAACGATTGAAATTCATTTATCACAGGCTGACAGCTTTTGGAGCAAATTGCGGGCATAGTTGACCCAGGATTTCCTTTACTAATCGCACCATGTTCTCCGACCGCGAGGGAAATTCGCAAGCGCCATCCTTTACGATTTAACAATAAATAACCTGTTACTTCAAAAGAACTCTAAATAAACCATTCGGGCAAGGTAAGAGTATTCAATAAATCGTCGGGCAAGAGTAGTTTTGGAAGCTGCCCCACACATTCGGGGCACTGTCACAGCCTTGGAAGCCATGAAAAACATTTCCGGGATGTCTGCTTGATGGGGCTTCGAGCGCCGAATTGGAGCGACATTTCGACCTCAGTTCAGCAAATTCTGTAAACTCCTCTTCCATTTCATCATTCTTTTTTATCTTCGGGGGATGCAGCGAAGACGGACGAGTTTCTGAGTCGGGGACGATTGATGCGTTTGTTTTCAAACCGTGCGGGGGATTCGACGAGCTCTGCAAGCGGTAATCTGCAACGCGTAGAAGGTTTTTATTCGGTATGGGTGTCATTTTCTTCGGAACTGTCTCTTGAGTGGATCGAAAACCGTTTACATTGAGCAGGTGAGATTCTTTCTGCGAAGTGAACGCACCATTCAAATGTTCCGCTTTCGCTTTTGCGGGCTGCGCTTCGTCCAAACACTCACCGCCTATTCCATTGAAGAACGTTTGTTTGCTCTCATCGTTGCGCACATGCGTTGCGCCGTTTGGCCAACCACGAGCCAATGACGCTTGATAACTTTCGTAATTGATCATGAAAGCCAAGGAAAGTGCCTTGAAAAGTTCCCGTGCCTTTGCTTTGCTTTCGCAGGTGAAGACAAATGCCTTAAATGGACTTTCTGCCTTGTCTCGTGCAATGAACACAAACGCTTTCTCGTGGAAGTTGTCGATGTTACAGAAGGTTACCTTAGAGATCGCGAAATTTGCGACCAGTTTTCCGCTCGCTTCCTCACTGACGCTCAAGCTTTTCGAACACACGTTCAGGATCATTTTCTTCTGCGTCTTGCCGTTGCCAGTCTTCCTCTGCTCTTCAAATACTGTGGCTACAGGTTTTTCCGTCTTTCCGCTGCCAGTCCCACTTGCTCCTGCAACTTCTGTGGATCCAATGTAACGTACGCTGTACTGTACTCCAGCAATCACTCGATCTTTCTCGTCCGCGTCACTGCATGTGAGTTGTTGGTGTCCTTTGCGGGCGAAACTTGGGCTCAGTTTAGAGAACATTATTTTTTTACTTCTGACTCGATTATTTCCACAACGCTCTATTTAAGATCTGGCGCTTATGACCTCAGAAAGGATATGATCATCTCAGAGAGACGAATGGACTTATATGGACCGAACAGTTGAAGTATGATACTTTTGTTTATGGTTTCACTTTTACGTAATGAAATTACATCTGCAGACGTAATGTCAAAGTCTTCATCGATCCGTTTAGAAGGGGATTAAGCCAAGTGTCAACACGAAACTGTTTAGATAAGAATTTTCCAATATTCAACGTAACAACAAACATTTTTGTTCTGCCAATGCACCAACATGTGAAAATCTGATAAATTCCCCTGCTTCAACCAAGAACAACATCCTTAAAATTTGAATAGTTAAGTAGACACGAAACAGGGGAAGTGAATTATCAATGACAACTCTCAGCTGGCATGTTAACAAAACCGCCAGTTCTTTTGGTTTCTAAAAAGAGCAGACAAAATTGTTGTGACGTAAACTCAGATGATCTGATTATGCCCCCATGATAGTGTCAAGTGCAGAACATTGGGACGTCAACAAATTTGAACGTCATGCGCGGCATTTTTTCCGACATCAGTTATCAAAAGGAACTCGTTACGATCAACAAAACATTTCTAATAAGAAAACTGCCTCCCTGCAGAGCGCTGTTATGAAGACACGTTTCAAAGCAGGAGAAATTCCTTGTAGTGTTATGATTTTGGGCTCAAAAACCAGTCACCCTAGTTCTCGAAATGTCTATGCGACATCCTTGCATCTTTCAAGAATTGAGGATGAAAATGAAAGTTGAATTAAAAGCACGCTGCTGAACCGTACCACCTTAACTGAACCACTCCTAGCACCTATAGTATTTTGCCTCTCTTATCTTCTATGAAAGAAAAGTTAAATCCAAAGTGAACACAATAAAAGAGGAGTGTTTCATAAATTGAATTGCGATCTGCCGTTTCTCAGGGCGTACAGGGTAAAAATCGCCGAGATGAACAAAATGACATCATTAACAGGAAGGCGAAAAATCCACAGCGGCGATAATTAAAAGCGTTGATGCGCAAGTGTTTCGTAGCTTGCGTAGCTCTAATTAGAGGTGACGGAACTTCGAAAAAGAGGAACAGAGTGGAGAGGCCTTGTACAGCTTCCCAGCTCATCTCTTAAATCTCTTTATAACATAACTAAGGCAAAGCCCACGCTCTGATTGGTTAATTCAGCATCTACTCTATGGGTACATACTACTGACGTGAGCAAATGCTAAGACTATTTTTCCGCGCGCGCTTGTTTTTTCTGATCACGTAAGATTTGTTAAATAAAAAGGAACTCTTGTTCCAATGTATCAATGTTATGTTATAAAACAAATGGTGAACGCCATAGCGTGTACTATTGAGTTATGGATGCACTTGGGAGGTTTGCTAAGCACTCAAGAAGCTAGAGTCACACTCGGCTATCACCTCGAGCGACTCTTACGCTTCTTTCGTGCTTAGCAACCTCCCGCGTGCATCCATAACTCAATAGTACACGCCATGGCGTTCACCATTTGTTAATCAAAGTGCGCACAAAACTGCTATGTACAGTCTGGCACAATCCTGAAGTCAAAACTCCAGAATAACCCTCTTTAACATGAGAATCTCTACAGGCTGTCGGCATATATGATGGGGGAAGTAGTTCTTAATCTTCGTATACTGTTAACTTGTTCACACGAAAAACAACTTCCTTCCTCAGAGAACTGAATATAAAGTTCCATTTTGGACCGGAATATGTTATCGAAATAGCATAACGCCCACTGTTTTAGTTTTCGGATGAACAAGTTAAATTACTGATTCCTTGCAGTCAAAAAAAAAAAAAATACAATCGAGCCAATTCTCTCTTCACAGAAAAACCAAACTAATCACAATTATGAGCAGCTGCTAAGAAAAAGAGAGATATCGAGCACCACGTCAGAGATCTCAAAGCACCACATTACTTAGACAAAACAGCTGATCCACGGGAATAAATTGCGCTGATTACGTAAGCATTGGACGCTCTGGTCTTGTACGTGACTCTTAACAAAAAAAACAGGAAGAGGCACATTAATCCTATAAATCTTATCTAGCATTTTTCATTCCAGAAAAAAGAGAAATATATATGTACATCTATATTTATAGATATAAGTATCTGCTTAGGGCGGTTCCAGCGGACAATCAAAGAGTTGTTTTAAAATTGTCAAAAATCGAGTGACGTCACAGCTGCTAAACGCTGGTCCCCTTGATTGCTTTGAGCTGTGCCGTCGTCAAAACTTGGATCTCATAACCGATCATATGGGGTTCGCTGTCAGGATAGACATAGCTGAATAATGAAACGCTACATCAGCGGGTTGCCGTCAACAATGCGGGCTCAAGTGTCCCAGGTCTAAAATTTAGCGAAATTAGCGGAAAATAGTAGGGGCTGACTTTTAAAACCGAGGAGCTCTGTTTTCGTCGAAGGCATTTTCCTATTTCCAGAGGTTTTAAGGAGAAAATTGATATTTGAAACTTTTCCGGGGGTATACCAAGTTTTTGAAGGTTGTTCTGTAAAAGAAAAGCGGCAAGGAAACTGAAACGACACGTCGAAGCAACAGAATTGGAAATCACTCATGCGAACGACTCAAAATCCGTGCTTCCGCGGCAAAATCCAACGTATGCGTGCACGTTATTCAGCTCTGTCGTCAGGATATGTTTTAAGAGCTCTGATTCATGAACCTGCAGCATCGTTTGAGCATCTTTTAGAGACGCTGAAAATGAGAAAAAATGTCACTCCATAAGAGCTTACGACGAGTCTAATTTAGTCGACCAATGCATGGGATCGGAGGTCACACGCTTTCCCCAAAGCGTTTTCTTTTTATAATGCACGCCCTATATATAGACGTCTCAACAACAGTATATAAGCGATATAAATTTTTTTTTTATTACTGTAGTCTGCTCGACGGATCTTCACTTTTAAAGGTTTTATAACGGGTGTCTACAAAACGAAGACCGAAGACCGAAGATCGAAGACCGAAAAACGAAGACAAGAGGGTCTTCGTTTTGTAGAAAAGACCCCGTGAATCTATAAAACGAAGACCCTCGCTAAAACGCTTTGTCAGACGCCAATTAACGCGAAATCAAGGGGGTCTTCGTTTAATAGAAAAGACCCCGTGAATCTATAAAAACGAAGACCCTCGCTAAAACGCTTTGTCAGACGCCAATTAACGCGAAATCAAAGAGGGTCTTCGTTTTGTAGAAAAGACCCCGTAAATCTATAAAGCGAAGACCCTCGCTAAAACGCTTTGTCAGACACCAATTCACGCGAAATCATTGGGTTTTCGTTTAATTTGTAGAAAGGACCGTGTGAATATGCAAAACGAATACCCTAGATTGAATAGTTCCCTTTGGCAATGAAAGTTTGACGCAAAAAGAATCAAATATTGTTTATTTGTGGCTATTCAATTCTGGAATTATAGAAACTACACACAGGGAAAATGTCTTCAATTCCTGTTAGAATTAACAAACTGTTATATCTTGATTTCTATTTAAAAAACATTAACAAAACCAAAGTAAACAACGATGTGCTAATTACCTAACTGCAGTTTGAAATTAAAATCCCTTCTAACATATTTGTACTGACGGAGACAAGCACGCGTGTTCTCCTCACTAAAGACATAAGCTAGAATATACGAGGAACTAATTCATACTGGAAAAAAATGATTGCTTCCTTCATTTACAGGGCTATCATTCTATAAACAGCAACTACAGGAGAAAAAAAAGTGATTAGTTTTCCCTCGGAGTGTCTCGTTTTACAAGCTCGCTTACAAAATTTGGCAGAGGGTTGGTAATCATTCGCTGAAACAAAGCTTAGCGAAATATGAGCACATGACCCAATGTATAAGGCCTATTCAGCCAATTATATTATTAAGAATCATTTTTCAGTCACGCAAACATGCACAGAACTGAACTTCCTTTACAAATATATGTAATTTTTAGTGTCTCTTGTTTATAATCCTTGTCTAAAAGCGATAAAATTTATGGCACAGCGTAAAGAAACCTCGGCATCACTGCTTCTATTTATGAGATTACGGGCAAGATAACCACAGTTACTAAACTCTTTATTACACCGCCCATGCAGGGGGTGAACTGCATACGTGAGCCGTTGTACGTGTTGGCACTAAAGTTAACGTCAATAGCTTGCAAAGAAAAGGTATTTGTCTGTTTAGAAATTGTAAAAATTGTCTCCTCTGTGTTTTTGTTTTCCTCCAGAAATGTTTGGCTTGTGTCAGTTAATTGCTGTCAAAGTTGGTACTTCCGGTAAAATGTAAATTACCTTTTTCGGGTTACGGACTAAAATTGAGAAATTTACAAGTCAAGTGAGAGCAATAAGAGTTCCCACTAAAAAAAATTTTGCAAATGAAGACAATCAATTATGACGCAAATAAGACCAAATAACGCTCCCGCTCCCTCGTCTTCCTTAGCGCTTTTAATTTTTTGTTTACTCACAAATAGTTTTAGCAAGGGTCTTTAATTTTTAGATTCACACGGTCCTTTTTAAACGGAAAACAAAGGCCCCAATGATTTAGCGTCAATTGGTGTCTGACAAAGGGTTTTAGCGAGGGTCTTCGTTTTATAGATTCACGGTGTCTTTTCTACAAAACGAAGACCCCCTTGTTTTGGTTTTCGGTCTTCGATCTTCGGTCTTCGTTTTGTAGACACCCGATTTATAACTGCGTTAAAAGGATTAAGATTAGCTTGGTTCTCCGTGTCGTGTTATTTGTTTTTTTTCAAATTCTTTTTAGGCAGAAGTCAAGCTCTCCCGCTTGGGAAGAATTTGTAAGGGATGGAAGCGAGACGGTATCCTGTTTCCCATTCGTACTTCCCGTCTCACCCACAATATGATCTTCACCTCTTTCGGCATTCTTTAGACAATAGAGGAAGCTCAAAGAAGCGGATACCATTCCCATTATTACCAACCCACAAAACTTCCTGCCATATCAGAAGCAGAAAAACGTTAGAGGATCTAGGTATTACGATAGCTCTTACGTTTCGGTAATCCACTCTTCAAAATTCAAAAAACAAGAATTTTCACTTTTTTGTCTATTTGTCTAGGTCCATGTCCAATGATTAATTTCTCTAACGTTTCAGTATCCATCAGACATTGAATGAACATGGTCAGAGGCGGATCTAGGAATTTTTGATTGGGGGGGTGTCCAGACTTCGGTTCAGAAAGGACTGTTGGACTCTCTTGAGGCAAATTACTTTTCTCCCACACCTCCTCCCACCAGTCGCAGTTGCAAGTTACAATTCCTTGGCCGCTTACCGTTTACTTGGAATCATTAAAAAAGTCAGCCAGTTAAAAAGTGATGTATGATCCTGTCTCAAAGTTGTAAGCGTCAGGTCTGATGGGGGGGGGGGGGCAGACCCCCCCGGACCCTCCCCCTGGATCCGCCACTGAGGGTACTCCACTGTTTAAAATTAAAAAAAAAAAAACAAGAATTTTCACTTTTCTGTCTATTTGTCCATGTCCAATCTCAATGATTAATTTCTTTTCTTCAGAGCAGCGGGATGAAGTGGTAGCAACAAGACGAGCCCCTATTGGCTGAAACAGCATAGTTCATCACAGTACAGGAGCACAGCTAGCTAGGTTGAACTAAATCTCCGATTTTTGCTACGGTATTTTTCGCGAATGTGACCCAAATCTAAAATTCTTTATGGCTCAAACAAACGCCAAGTACATGGGCTATTTCTTTGCAGTAGGCTATTTTTCGCGAATGTGACCCAAATGAAACATTCCTCATGGCTCAGACAAATGCCAAGTATATGGGCTATTTCTTTGCTGTAGGCAAGGACTGCTAGAAGCCATAGTTGACAAAAGTAGAGCGCAGCGATCTACTTTCATCCTCAGGAAGCGAACGTTAATCGTTACTTGTGCAATCAATGTGTAATCAGTTGAGAGAGTGCATTTGTAAAAAAAAATAATAATAATAAAATAATAATAATAATAACAGTAATAACAATAATAATGGTAATAAAAATAATCATCATCAAAACTAATCACGATCATTTCAGTAACAACATTGTTGATCATCAGTAATATTTATTTATTTATTTATTTAATTTATTTATTTAATGATTCGCCCGAGGGCAGGTGATAATATAATAGGAGTCTCAATCCCCTCTAAAATATTAACACCCAAACCCAACCCCAAGTATGAAAGAGAAAAGTGGAAAACCAATCCCAACCCAAAGTAATTTCAAAGATTTGATATTCTATAATACATTACGTGACTTTCAATTAGATATATTTAGAAATAAATTACATGTTAAATTAATTTTGTATTTGATAAATATACAAAAATTTAAAGATGTCAGATTTTCTGAGTGGTTTGCATTTTTCTTGAAAGTTTTTACCAACACATAAGGTATTATTTCATAAATAACATTATGCTATACATAATAAAAACTATTGAAAATTAAAAACTTCAGCTTTGAAAGATTAGTAAAGAGTTTCTTCAAAGCATTCTGAAAATGTCATATTTTGGACACAGAAGATATTTATTTAATATGTAATAAATTATAAATTAATTATAAAGAAAATTCAGATTAAAATATCATAATGATTGTAATTCAATGTCTCTCTGCTGTACATGTGTACTTAAGTGTGCAGTCATTCATTTAATTTCCAACAGTAAAATGTACAAAAATATAATATATTAATTTAAAGATTGTTACATACAAATATATATAATCATTTAATTATAGCAAACTATATGTTATTTTAGCAATATTCCCCAGCTAATAATCCCTTTCTTGACTGAACAAAACAAAATAAGCGATAATTCAAAACATGCCCTCTTAAAGTTTCATTTCTCATTCTTATCTAAATCAAGAGAAATAATTTGTACTGTCAGAAGAAAACAATTGACTTCAGGTACACAAATATTTAATCAAGTGTGCAGCTGGGTCTGAAATAAATATCACCTCAAAACTACTGGGTTAATATAATAAATTTGGTAATTTTGTTCTCACCAATCAATTGAGAAAATTTATGGTCAGTATTCACTGTTTTTTCACTTAACTTGTTATCATATAAAGGCCTGAAGAAAAATTTTAATTTACTTGGTGTTTTTCACTGAGCTGTTTTTCAATTTCCATCTGTCTTGCAGTGCTGTAATAATGCTACCAGGTAACTTTTGGTGGCTCAGTATCAGATCTTGGATTCCCATCTGAACCTAAGAGAATGCCACATATTTTTTTTAACAAACTGGCCCTGGTTGTCTGAAGATTGAATAATGTTATCCAATGAATAAATAGCTGTACAGCAGATAGCATATAGTATGTTTTCAGGGTTGCTGCAAAGCGCCAGTGGCTGGTGAAATTTACTGCATAAAGAGTGATTGCCAGCAGGAGTTTCGGCCAGAAATCACAATGGGCACTTCCAAGATTACACAGTTAAAATTGTTCTCCACCTTTGAGCTGCCTCTCTTGAAATTTCAGCCAGCAGCATAATTTCTTAGCTACAACCCCATGTTTTGTAAACATTCAGCCACTGAATAGCCATTTATCCAGATCAGGTATCCAAGATGCCATTTCCTACATTTTGAGAACCTAGCATAGTTAATGGTAAATAGCCTTTTGTAATAGAAATGTCACATATATGGCCAAGGCAATACAAGGAACTACCACAGAATCAGTTAAAGAAAGATGCTCTTACCTTCCCAGCTAACTCATCACTGGTTAATTTGGAATCAAAGTAAATAGGATCTCCGATGAAAGTTCTAAAATGAATAAAATAGGAAAGAACAAATTATTTCAAGAGAAATTAGTAATAAGGTAAATGCAGTTCATATTTATTCAGTAAAACCCCCTCTCAAGGTGATCAATGTGTAACTTCTCCCTACAGTGTTCATACATTAAACAGCACACAGGAAATGAGAATACTCAAATTTATCAGGTAAAAGTTGTTCTCTTGATCTAACACCAAATTCTGGTAACTAATATCCAAAGAAATGTGTAGCAGCTAGAGGGGAGAATTAACAATCAGATCTTGGGAGTTAATGGGTTTGGGTACTCCAACTGAGAACTGCATTCCTTAAATGATATTCAGCATTGACTTTAAAACAGTTTCCTTGATATGAGTCATCAAGTAATCCTTGTCACAAATGATAAACAAACTTGAATTACTGACTTGTCAATGCAGTTGCATGAATATTGAACAAACCACTTCAACTTGATAAGGGTTTTATTTACTCAAGGAACTTAATTCTGTTTTCAAGCAGATCAGAAATTACTAAAAACTGGATCATTGGATAATGCAATTCAAGACTTTTTATTGGCTTAACCGTTATGGTATATGAGCCAATATACCAAATCTAATATCTGTATATTGTAACATCCGGTTTTTTCTTACAAAATAAAGTCGAGAAGATTTGTCTGATATCTTGGGGGTGGTTTTTTTAATAAAACAATTATTCCACTTGCACTTGTTGGATATGAGATGATTATAGCCAACTCGGCGCTACATGCCTCACTGGCTATCTATCATCTCATAATCAACACGCGGTCGTGGAATAATTGTTAATTTTAAAATTTGGGCGAATTGGTCACCAATCCCCTCCAATGACAGAAACCTGAACTGAGAATCATACAGTCAATCATTTTGAATAAGCTTTTCAAAAATACCTTAACTTGACAGGAAAGCCTCCATAAAGTGGAACAAGTGGCAGCTTTGTCCATTCATATAACTTTCGGAACCATTCTGCAAGATGGTCAGTTAAAACTTTTATCATCTTTAAATCACTGTTACTGTAAGATTAACATACAATAAAAACTCTGTCGTATACCTAATGCTCCTCATAACTTATTATCCAAGTCAGTGTGGATCTAAATAAAAACAACCAATCAGGCACGAGTTTCGTAGTAATTGTACAACATCAATCATGATTAAAACATGTTTTTTAAAAATTTCAAACATCTTAACTAAGGGGCCTAAAAAGCAAAAAAAAAGCATGTAATTTGAACCCTTTAACCCTAACATTAGTATTCCTATTCTCAAAAGAGTCCTCTTTACATTTCCTATGGTGCTGAAAAGGAGAATTTGAGGGACAATCAGGAGCTTCTTAAATTGGCAATTATTTCCTTTATTCTTATGACTTTTAAATTTGATCCAAGGGTGATATTGTAAGAAGATATTAGATGGCAGTCACTCCCAGGATCTTCTTAGTGGTTCTTCCTACTGTCCACCTTACAATTCTTACAATGCAAGTTTGGAGAATTTGGTTTTGTATCAACTGATAATCCCTGATTGATATTTTTCTTTATTTTTGTCACTTGCCTGCTTGACATAGTATTGCTATTGTAAGGAGAAAATCTGTCTTGGTCACTCATGGCAGTTAAAGGGTTAAAGGGCTATGTTAGTTTTCATCTTATTCCCTCATCAAATTGGAAATCATAATTATGTATTGCTTGTACTCACTGCGTCCAACTTGAATGGACCGAATAGCTTCTCTCACATTTTGTGTATAAACAGGATAGATTGGCTGTAGAGAGAATGACACAGAAAACCTCAATAAATAAAATGTAAGAAACATAGCAGTGAGCAATCACCTATACCCACCCTCAAAAAGAAAGCTCTTTCCTTTTTTCAAATCCTTTCAACCACCCCAAAATGGATCTGTGATTTCATACTTACCACTTCAGCCTCGAGAGCTACTTTGGCAAATCCCCGCCTTCCATTCCATATCATTGTGTAATATTCATCAGAGAACAAAGCTTCTCTAACTCCTCCTGGAGAAATGGCCAATAGTTCACCATTCTAGAAGAAGAATTTCACCCATTGATTAATAAAAACTCAAAACTGACTTATAACATAACCAAAGTAAAGCGCACGCTCTGATTGGTCAATTTAGCGTCCCCCATTTGCCCATGGGTGTACGCTGCTGACATGAGCAAATGCAAAGACAATTTTTCCGCGCGCACTTGTTTTTTCTGGTCGCGTAAGATTTGTTAAATAAAAGGGAACTCTTTAGCTACAATGTATCAATGTTATGTTATAAAACAAATGGTAAACACCACAGCGTACACTATTGAGTTATGGATGCACTTGGGAGGTTTGCTAAGCACTCAAGAAGCTAGAGCCGCTCTCGGCTATCGCCTCGAGCGACTCTTACACTTCTTTCGTGCTTAGCAACCTCCCGCGTGCATCCATAACTCAATAGTGTACGCTGTGGTGTTTACCATTTGTTAAATTGTGCACTTTTTCATATGATTAAGTAAGTAAGTAAGTGAACTTAATTTAAAACAGGGTGGCCCATTTAGCTAGGATGCTGTTGTCCAGAGGGGCCAACTAAAAGTGATTGTAACTGTGTATTTTCCTTTTAATGGAGGGCCCATGGAAAAAATGCCCTCAGTCACATCTGATGGACCACTAGATTCCCCTTCCAAATTGCCTTGCATTCCCCTCTAGGAACAATGGGAGAAGTAATTGTTGCCTCAAAAGTCTTTAGAGCTTTATTCTGGCTGCACAATCCTTCAAAAAATACTTTACTTTAGGCAGATAAAAACTGCAAATCAATGTATATTAACCCTTTAAATCCCCCAAAGTGATTAACATATAACTTCTCCCTAATAATATCCATACATTATCCAGCAAACAGGTAATAAGAAAACCCAAACTTCTCAAGGAGAAGTTGTTTTCTTGATCAAACACTAATTCATGTAACTAAGTTATAAGGAAATCTGTAGCTGCCAGTGGGAAGAACCAACAAAAAGAGTAAAGGCTGATAGTTTCGAAAGAAACTGTTTGGGGCTGCGTCGGTGGGAGTAACGAAATAATTTGGATATATCAACAAAGTTGAAATGGTAAATTGGCCACCGTAATGATTACAAAAGCTGACGTTTCGAGCGTTAGCCCTTCGCTCCGACGAAGGGCTAACGCTCGAAACGTCAGCTTTTGTAATCATTACGGTGGCTAATTTACCATTTCAACTTTGTTGATATATCCAAACAAAAAGAGTAACCTTGGATTTTAATTTGGAGATGTTTCTTGTTTCCCTCTTGAGCATCAAAGACATGGCCAAATGAAGTTTCAATCCTGGGTTCCAGGTTATCACTGCAAGTTATAAAATCTTGGTCTGTTGTTTATAAAATTGGAAATAACTTTGATTATAATTTAGACAAAAGTCAAACCTTAAGAATCTCCACACATTGCTCTCTGGAGCGTCCTTCTACAGCTCCACAGACTTCAAGAAGCAACTGAATACCTTCAAGAAAATTTGGTATTAATAAGGTGAAAAGACACAATGCTATAGTTGTAGTATATTCAGAATAAAAGGCCAGGAACACAGTAAACCAGATCAAGATGGCGGTAAGAACTGTTTTTAATCTGAAAGAAGACCTCATGTACAATACCAAATATGGAAAACAGGTCTCGTGATACTAGCTTCTACTCAGAACAGGGAACCCAGAAAGTAGGGAAAACCTAACAATAGTAGTTACTGTGTAGAGAAAGGTTTCATTTTCTGAATGAGTCTCCTAAGTCACATAACATCGTTTCAAGAGTGATACTGTTGGAGAAATTTGACGCTAATCACTCTTAAATTAAAGGTTAAGGGGTTAACCCCTATGAGTAGCTGGCATCTAATTAACAAATGGTTAACACCACAACCTACACTATTGAGTTTTGAATGCAGGCAGGAGGTTGCTAAGCACGAAATAAGCAGAAGACTCACGCAAGGCGATAGCCAAGAATGACTCTAGCTTCTTGAGTGCTTAGCAAACTTCCCAAGTGCATCCATAACTCAACAGTGTAACTGCAGTGGTGTTTACCATTTGTTTTATAACATAAGATTGATACATTGTAGCAAAAGAGTTCCCTTTTATTTAACAAATCTTATGTGCCCAGAAAAAACAAGTGCATGCAGAAAAATAGTCTTTGTATTTGCTCACGTCAGCAGCATACATCAAATGGAGGATGCTAAATTGAACACTCAGAGTGTGCGCTTTACTTTGGTTATGTTATAATTTCTCCTCACAGTATCACAGTTGTCTCAAATACAAAAGTTATGAGAAGAAAGGAAATGATCACCAATTTCAGAAGCTCCTGATTGTCAAAAAAAAATCTTCCTGCCAGTACCTTGAGAAATGTACTATGGAGAACAGTGTAGAGAATATGCATTCTGATGTTAGGGTGTAAATCCACCCATCCACAAACCTGCTCCACAATTATTGAATTAGTTTGAAAATATAAAATTCAACATAATGTATCTTTTCCACCTTTAACTTTTCATCTTTACTTTTCCCAAGAAACTTTACATAATTCCCTGAAGAACATTGGCAGTCAGCTAATGAATAAATATTATTTCAGCCCAGCTGGACATAACATCAGCACAGCTAGTGAATAAATATTATTTCAGCCCAGCTGGACGTTACAGCACAATACCTGGTATGTGAAACAAAAATGTAGCAGCCACATTCCTTAGCCTTCTCTTTTTACAAAGCAGCAGTCTTGAAAGTATGTAATACATGTCCAGAGGCAAGGCACCATGATAGTATATTAATAGTGCTGCTCCCTTATCTGGTAACTTTTCCATTCCAACAAGTTCATAACCTTGAATGCAACAAAATTATTTTTTGATTTTTATAAGCTTGCAAAAGGTAGAAAGCTGTTACAAAAAAATTGAAAGGAACTCAAGTAAGTGTTATGAGCCTGTAACGATACTGTGATGTCATGAAAGGGTGTCCCGGATGTTGTTGTTGTTGTATTACGCCTAGTGATGGCGCGCTTTTATGAGACCTATTAAAGAACCATTGTGTTGCCATCGTTCTTGTACTCGTTTGGACTACGCTACAAAGCCTGGAACAAAACCCCACTCAGAATCGAACCTTAGGTCACTTGTGCGGTGTTTGGCAATAATCTGTTGGTGAGTTCACTTCCATAAGTGATTAACTTATAACTTCTTCCTATAATTTGCAATCGCATTATCCAGTAAAACAGGTAATGGTCAGTAATGGCAATACTCAAAATTATCGGGAACAAGTTGTGATCTAGACCTTACACCAAATTCTCCCAACTAATTTAGGAGGAAAAGGGTAGTAGCTAGAGAGAAGAGTCAACAATCAGATCATAAGAGTTGAAGGGTCAGTCAAAAAAAGAGAAGTCGATAATTTGCCTCATGGAAATGTCTTAGCAGAACATGAGAAATCAAAACTGTAATAATGGTTATTTGGTTTAAGGATCTAAATATTACATAGCTTTCCTAGCTAGAATATTCACTTAGACTCCACATGCCCTTCACCTTGCTTGCCAGCATATGGGGAATCAAATTTCTAAGGATTTGCTTCTCTCCCATTGGTTTTGGGTTGACACTCCCACATCACGCCCCTGACCCAATGACCCCAAAAAAAAACATGTGGCTCTTGGGAAAAAGTTTGCTCCAACCTAACTTAAATCGCATTCACAAAAATAACTCAATAGATTCTTTTTGAAACAATAGTTTTGGGTTTTTTTTTCACAAGTATTGTCGCACTGAAGCGATCTCAGGAAATAGGTTTGAGTGAATTAATTTTGAAAGAGATCTATTAAAATCTTTTTTTTTTTTTTTACACTTGGGGTCATATGCTCCCTGGCGGGTTTCCTGTTTCTTAAATGAACGTGACTCTGAACAAAAAAAAAACGCTGCGATTTGCCGTTCTTAGTTTACGATATAGTCATCTTTCAAGGAAACAAATATGTACATTTTGGTTTATAAAAGACAAATTTCTTCATATTTGGCATGGAAAGTAATAAATTTAAGGAATATTTAACGACAACTTTGTTAAGTGAAGCCTCTGCGAGATATCACCGGATTTCCGGTTTTAGTCTCGAGAACACACACGGCTATTGCCATGCAATGTGTAAAAAACATTTTTTATGCATGTACCCAACCTAAAATTGTTAAGGTTGTCGAGCTGGCCTCTTTATGAGGCTGTAGATGCATATTAACAAACAAAATAGTAATTGAGGATTTTCATATGCTACACCCACTGTTTTGTGAGGATCGACGAAAAAAAAAGAAAAATCGAGAAAGAAAAACGCACTTTTGAGAAGAGGCACTAAATTACATACGCGTATTTGCATTGCGCACCCATGAAACCTGTCAAGTATTTTTCAATTCCGTGATGCATTTGTAAAAAATTCACTTCGTGACTAAAATTGTTTACTTACCATGCCAAAGGGAGCCGTGCGCATCGAACACGGCTGCAACCGTTTGCATTGCGCCGTCCCAATAGTTCTCTGAGTATGCGTTGTAAATCTCACGCCGTCTGTGATGATAAACGTGAAGAAAAATTGCGGCGCCATACATCATCATAAGCACTACAACTGGATAGACAAAGACTACGACCAAAGGCGAAAGAAGGATCATTAGCCAGTCCATGTTTCGACTGCGCGACCTCATGCAACCACACGCGTGTCGCGGTACGTTCCGTTGTTGTAATCTCTTGATCTTCTGGAGAGGAACCTGGTCCTCAATCTCTAATCAGCTTAGATACGATCAGATTATCATGTATTCTGTCATTTCGACTGTACTTAGGTGTATTCCGATAGTTATTTCGATAATAAAAAAGCTTTGCAATGGCCGTTTCAAGAAAAAATATCAAAGAGAACTCCTTTTGTTCATTACTTACAAAGTTGCTCTCCATTTCCTCTTTCAATGATATTCTTTGATAGTAGATATTAAAGTGACTCATTGTGATTTACTACACCACATTTCATTTAACCGCTGGCCTGGAGGAAGTTATTTTAGAAGACGTATGAATTTCGAATGCCGAAGATTTTACTGCTCCCTTTGAAACCCAGTTGTCGCAAACATGAGCATGCTATTTTAGCGGCAGAATGACAACAGAAAGAGTGATAGATCCCCATCTAGAAAATTTGATCTGGAGTGACATCGAGTACAATCTCTGCGAGTTTGTTGATCGCTTTCCTTTGCCTCAAATTGTCAAAGTACAAGAAGGTTACTATGGCCCAACTGAGGATTCATGCATTGGAGCCGAACAGATCCTTACGCTGCACTGCGTGAAAACTACAGAGAAAGTTTTAGCTCGAGACAGAAAGAAACGAGAGCTTCATATTCCTTTGAACTGTTCGCAGAAGGTTGAGCTTCGTCCCGCCGAGTTCAGAGGAATTTACGAAACCGTGGAAGAAATTAGTAGAATTCCAGCGAGATTTGTAAGAGTGACCCAAGGGTATTACCTCGAAGAAGAAGCAGTGAGCCTGAATCCCGGAGATAAACTGGAAGTAATCCGCGTGGAGCAAGGTCTTGGAGGGAAAGACGACGGTGTTGTCTTCCTTACTGAAGAGCGCAACCCTATCCGCTTGCCTTTTAGTGTCAGTGCAGGATTCCAGTCCCTGCTTGATGGACGGGAATATTATCTGAAGGAGCTGATGATGTCTTCTTTTAAGCTGCCAGTCTACTTTCAGTTCACTGAGCCACCGTCTATCACTCGAAGATCAAGTGAGGGTGTGTTTAATACTTCACTCGGGGTGCTGTCATTTGAAAAAGTGTACCAAGATTCTACTGTCATATGCACTACAAAAGAAGGTAGCGTTAGAACAGTAGTCAGCTGCCCCAAAAATCTTCCAGTCACTATTAATGTGGCTCGTGGGGCATTGTCAGATGACAAGGATTATGTCCGCATTTGTCGCTTGTTTCATGATGGGGTCAGTCTTTTGAAGATTGAGAACATGGAGATCCAGAACATTTATGCATCAAGGAATACCATTAGAGAGTATGAGTACATTGTAGATGATTTGTCACCACCACCACCTGTTCCTCCTCGTGAAAGTGCAGAGGATTCTTCTTTGTCCAGTTGTCAGGTTCCTGAAGCAAGTAATTCAGACTCTGGTGACGACAGCCATGATTACACGTACATTGATGAACCTGTCACAGACAAGTCCACCCCTTTCCAAAAGCCAAAGCCAAATGGTGTCATACATGTAGTATCTGGTGGTAAGGATTCAGCAGAAATGGTCAATCTTGATAAAAATTTGGATGAAGCGGCTATTAATCATGATGATGAAGATGATGATTATGAAAATGTAGATGAAAATTATCCTGCTCCTGTCGTGAAAGGTGGTGAACCAACTACAAAAAATGAGCCTGTCAAACCTCCACGTAAATCAAAAGAGGCAGCAAAACAGAACCCTGATGAGAATAAACCAGAGGTGAAAAAAGTCCCACCAGCTATCAAACCAAAGCCACCATCCATAAAGGCCAAGCCAATGTGGAAGCAGAATGAGAAAGAGAAACCATTTGTTGTACCAGATGATCTCTCCCGAATGTCCATAAAAGAAGTGTCCCAATTTTTGAGACACTTTGGCTTTGAAAGTTTCCTGAAAGTATTTGCAGAAAATGATGTGGATGGTGACCTTCTTGTTAATCTGACTGACGAGGAGCTCAAGGCACTTGGGCTAAATGCTTTTCAGTGCAAGAAAATATCAAGACTTGTTGATGGATGGAGACCTAAAAAGTAATTCTGAAAGTAAGATACATAACATACATTTTCTATTATAGCATAAATCATGTAAAGCACAGGCTCTGTTGGTCAATGCAGTGTCTACTACACATGGGTGTATGCTGTAGACGTGAGCAAAAGTTTGTAAGTGAGCAAAATGTTTTTTTTGTTATAAAACAAATGGTAAACACCCCAGCTTACACTGTTGGGTTATGGATGCACTTGTGAGCTTTGCTAAGCACTCAGGAAGTTAGAGTCACTCTCAGTCATGGCCTTGAGCAACTCTTACACTTCTTTCATGCTTGGCAACCTCCCATGTACATCCACAACTCTATTGTGTATGCTGTGCTGTTTACTATATTTTAAATTTTAGACACAAGTAGTGGATCATAGTTTTAAATCCTGTTTAACTTTGTTTATTAAAAAAGTTTGCTTTGTTCAATATCTTCTTAACCCCCGTGGTACCCCAGGTCGGATTGTTAATTCTCCCCTTAAGCTGCCACACATTTCCTTTTGAATAAGTAAGGAGAATTTGGTATTAGATCAAGATAACAACTTATACCAGTTACGTTTGAGTAATCCCATCACTTGTTTGTTGGATAATCTATGGATTTTAAAGGGAGAAGTTACCCATTTATCACCCTTGGGATTTAAGGGGCTAATATGGTTTTCACAATTTTGAAATCTGGTTTGAATAATTCTTGATTAAATACTTCCACAAGATATAAAAGTAGTGTCAGTATCATCTACACATGGAAATGTGTGAACCCTGCACACCATAACATCTGTAAGCATAATTATTCTTCAATTTTTTCATGTAGATTTCCTGGTACTGACAAGGAATCTGTTGAACAATTTATAGTTTCGGTTGGTGACTATTTCTTTTATTCTCATGTCCTTGACGTTTGATTTAGCAGTGATACTGCAAGGAGAAACTAATGTACGTCATGTCTAGGGGTTAAAGAGTTACAAAATTCAGTGTTGAAACCTATAAACATGTAGTACTGGTCAACAAGTAAGTTCTCTTTTCTAATTCAAGGATATGCTCTAAGGAAAATTGAATGGAGCCCAGCACTCTGAAGCTGTGAAATCCAGGGTGCCCAGCATATGTTTTTCATGAAAAAAACTAGAATTCCTGAGTCACCTAAGAGCAAAAGTAAGGCACCGGGGGCCACTGGGCACTACTAGACCACAGCCTTGAATGTAATGCATAATCCAGCAAATAGTGATAATTACACCACTTTTTACAATTTATTCTCCTTGCTGATTTACAACAAAATTGTAAGAAGGTAGATGGGAGAATTACTGGTCTCATCTTTGGATTTGCAGGGTTCAGAAACTTGTTTCTTTTAGTGAGAAGTTTACTGGAATTGTAATCTTCAAAATATCTCATGTTTTATCAGTCAGCTACCTCAAGTATTATGCTGTATAAAGGCTGATAGTTTCGAAAGAAACTGTTTGGGGCTGCGTCGGTGGGAGTAACAAAATAATTTGGATATATCAACAAAGTTGAAATGGTAAATTGGCCTCCGTAACGATTACAAAAGCTGACGTTTCAAGCATTTGCCCTTTGTCATACGAAGGTCTAATGCTCGAAACGTCAGCTTTTGTAATCGTTACGGTGGCCAATTTACTATTTCAACTTTTAATTTGTTGATATATCCAAATGATTATGCTGTATAGACAAGTCTTTGTAGTTATACCTTGTTAACATTTTATATAACTTGGTTTGTAAAGCTCTGACTATATTTGAGCTTTTTGTTTAGTTGCTGGAAGGAGATACATTTATCTTATGCTGTAAGATACATCCTGAAATCAAGGAAGTTGTTATAGACTTGTAAATCTTTAATAACAATGTTTCTGGTAGTATCATTGCAGTTCATGGCATAAGTAATTTTTTTATAGCAATGGCAGCATTTGGGGCTGTTCTCTTCCAAAACATGTTATTTTATTTAAATTTAATATAACAAAGTGTGGAAGAGTGGGCAAGACAGGAATTTAGTAATAATTTAGTAATATATTCAAGGTATGTTTTTGGTAGTGAATTAGTAATGGTATAGTAACTCATATCAATTGAAATGAAATTTATCCAAACATCTATTGATTTGCTTTGCTTGAAGCTTGCTGTAGATTTATTGAAGGACTATGCAGTAAAATCCATGTCAGAATTTGAACATATTTTGATTGAGTATGGTGAGATTCATGATACCTTGATAAAATTAATGATACTTGCAGCTTCACCTCCTTTCCTTAAATCCAATCCTCTGCGGGCCGGGATAAAAACTAAAGGTTATCCTGTGAGGTAGCCATCAAAATAGCCTGACTTTTCTCAAGCAGTGTGATCTAAAATTAGGAAAATGTTGAATAATCAAACTAATTTTGCCCCAACTTTCACCCACATCTGGCCTTTCCCCTGATATTCTTTATTTTCATGCTAAAAATAAAAAAAATGGACACAAGCTAGTCCAGAGATGATCAGATTGTCATCATATTCACACATTTGTCATAAACAGCTTTGGAAACTTGTTCCTTAACTAGAATTTTATTCCATTGGAGATGGCACTTATAGTTCCCATCTTAAATTAATTGATAATTTGAAAATGTCAGCATTTCCTTGTCATCATGTTTTGGAAATATGAGGATCTATAATTAAGCACCATGCCAAAAGAATCATAAATATGGTACACATACATGTATCACCAACAGGCAAGAACTAAAATCCTTGTTAAACTGGTCTTGCCTCAGAATATTACTCTTAAATGGTTGATAAAAGAAAGAAAGATTTCTATCTCTGTGTAACGATATCACGCTGCAAAGGTGGGCGCCCTCTAACACACAAAACACCAAGCACAAACGAGCCTGAGAAGACATGCCACAACACAACTAAACATAGGCTTACAAATATTTATTATTCTAAGTAAGACAATAAAGTGACTAACAATAACGACAATACAATGAGCTGAATTATTTATCCTAATAAAATTACAGGAATACGATAATTTAAATTACAGTACACTTTAACTATTTACAAGAGTATTACCAGTACTATTAAGATATAAAAAAAGGTAGGTCTTTTTTTTTAAGTTCAGTTCAGTTTGCCCTCGCATCCCTGTGCTGTCCCTGTCCTTAATCCAACCATGTTCCACCAACAAACGACTGATAAACCAAAACAAACGACTGACAAACCAAACTCATGTTTAACAAACCCAACTCACATTTAACCCACCTAAACATAGAAGTTTCCAACTTCACGCAATTCGGTCTTTGCCCAGATTTTTCCTTGACTCAGTTGTCTTCACTAGCTTACTATCTGACAGAAGATAATCTTCTTTTCCTTTTTCTGCACTTTCTTTGGCAAGCTTCTCGGCACACATGCACCCCCCAGCAAATGAACTCTTTGTCATGTAAAGGAACGATTTTACTGAATTACTCTTCAGTGATTAGAATGTGCCCTGATTCAAACAAGTCTCTGTAACTTTCAAGCCTTCACCGCCAGTGACCTTCTCTTGAAATGGAGAAGAAAAAAACCACACCATAACCACCCGAATCCTTGTATACATGTGGACGCAAGGTGCCAGAAAAAAGGAAAACTATTTGATATATTAAAATAAAGTTTAATTACACAACCGGTTACACATGTCAAGTGAAGAATACAAATATCACACACTACATTAATCCTAGGAGAATAAAAGAATAATTTTATTTAACTACCCCTAACTAAATTCTTTTGGACACTTTCATGACACTCTGATTCTCTAATTTGCTTTCAACTTTGAAAATGTAATTTGACCAGATTATAAGAATGATTCGAAATTCATGCTTTTGCATTACATTAAGGATTTTGCTTGGTTATATTGCCTTTGCAGGGATCAAGTCACTATAGCACAACTCACTCTTGCCTGCAGTACAGGTATCTTACTAGAGCGAGTTAGCATACAAGTTCACCTTCCTTAATCCAGCTGGCCCTGGGTGACTACAAGTTTATGTGGACAGTGGAACGAGGAGGGGTGAGCAGGGAACCCCCTCCCCCCTTTCCCTTCTAGTGACTGTCGCCCACCCTCTTGGTACAAAGTCCTTTCTCTCCCCAGCCTTCTACTGCTGTAAATATCAAAGGTGGCAGTTATCATTTTCGCTGCTCTGTAGGCTGAGTTCACTACAGAGTCTCTCTCTCGGTGCCAAATTTAAAGGTCTGAGGTTTGATTCCTCATGGGGACTCAGAATTTTTTCTCTGTCTCACCCTTGTGACAAGACAAAACATATTGCCACTTGAGTCTTACAGCCAAAATCATCACAGCAAAACTGACTAATCAGTTCATACAAACCAACCTTGGAACATTTGACTGACAACAACTAATCGCTTGACTCTGATGACAACTTCCACTCAGGTTGTCATAACATCAGTCACCACTATGGACAACATTCCTTCTCAGGACTATACTTACCCAATCAATCAGACTACACCATCGCACATGTTTCTTCATTCACCGCTGAGACCCACCACAAAACAACAGAGGGGTCAGTAAAAATATTTGCATTGACATCAATGTACCATGATTTTTTCTACTGGTTTTGAAGAGAAGTGCAGCATATATAAAAAGTCTAGAGAAACTGTGGTACTGCATCTGTGGGGGTTATTACAAGATAATTATTTTGGTGTTATCGACTGAGTTGATAAATGTAAATTGGCTATCCTAAAGTTTCAACTTCATCCTGAAGTTTCAAATATTAGCCTTGCATCAGAGCAAAGCATATAAGGTTGTATATATCCATGGGCCATTAAAATAACTTTTTATCATTCATTTAAGTTAACAGTTCAGAAGGCAAGAAAATTGTACAACTTTATTTCAGTTGAAACACAGCCTGATTAAATTACCATATATGAACTCAAATGAGCTTATACAAAATAATTTTCTATGACTTCACAAGAGTAATAGTTGAAATGATCCAGCTTGAAAGGCTTGCCTTTCACAGGATGAAACATTGACACAAAAAAGTGGAATTTAAGAAAAAGATCACAGAGATGCGGCTATCACCAATATGTTGAGTTATGGCAGAAATCTAGAAAGAAACATAAATGTACAATCAATAAATGTGCTGCTTTCACAACTAAGTAATTCTTCTAGCAACCAACAAGCACTCCCCAGAAGGAATGCTTCTTGCTCGCTATGTGATGTTCCTTTTCCGTGAAATTGGTTCCCTAACCCACATGATGCTCTAAACACAAGCAACCACAAGTACAAAAATACAAGTAAGGTGATGGTGAGATGTTATATGAAGTTTTTCCACAATTACTACAGGATCAAGTGATTTAATTTTTTTTTTCACACTAAGACGTCATTGACTACAAATCAACATGACTGGTTGTTAATTATTTCTCTTAAAAAGTGGCCATCTTCAGGACAGCTATATGGCAATCTGGCTAAAGGCTTGGTTGCTATGAGAAAATGTCATAGATATACGATCTGAACTGAGTAGGAAGCTGAATTGAATTGTGTTTGGGTGTCTAGCATGCTGCCTACTGGCTTATTATCACAACCTTGTATTGGTGACAAGGAGGAATAGAGTGATAAGAAGGAACCATTAACAAGCTCAAATGAAACCTGATTTTGGAATAAAACCTCAGTCACAGTAGTGAGTGGTCAACACTCTCCTAACAGTTAAATATTGCTCCCTTTTGGTTCACAAGCTCCTTCAGAAGACTCACCTACTGCGCTTGTGCTTGACGAGCTTGTTCCTCAACCCACATCTGTTCAGCGACTTTCTCTGCATCATAGTTCTTGTAGAATTCTTCATATCTTCTCCTCTTTGGATCAGCATAGCCAAACTTCCAAATGCAGCCAGCAATAATGCCCAGCCCTATGGACCTCAGAATAGCTCTTTGGAGGTTTTTCTGTACAAAACCACGAAGTTGAGGAGGTGCCATAACTGAAAGAAGATACCAAAACATGTTTGTCACAAAAAACTTGTTGAGTTTGAACAATTTCTTAAGGGTTTCTATGAAGCTTGTTCAAAACATTACACCGTACAACCTACTTAAAGATAAATTCTTGTAATATATCATTAAACTTTCATTCATTTCATTCATTCTCAGTTCACAAGACATAATCCACACTTGAAAAATAGTTTTAAATTTACTTAATAAACTTCTGGATTTCATTGATTGCCGGGTTTGCATATTCACAAAGCGGTCACATTTATGCAAGATTCCAATTACTAAGACCAACTTCAATTAGTTGCTGGGTGATCACTGAGTAATACTGGCCCTAGGTTCCCCTGTTTATCCTAAAATCGACCAAGTTATCACAGTGATCTGTACAAAGTGCAATCGCTATATACGTTTAATTCCGTGAGTTTAATATATCAGCCTGAATTGGCATTACGCCGAACGATGCTGATATTTTGGGCCCCAAAGTAAACGCCAAAAGCAATCAAATACACAGAAATAGTTCTGATATTTGAAAATCATTAATTAGAACAATTATAGAACTCAGATTACCTGAAAATCTACAAACTAAACAGCTCAATTACCCTATAGTTTGGTTCCTACACAGGTTGTCCGTCCAAGTCCGTGTATCGAGACAACTTGTGCGCATAGTCGTCTTGCGTAATTTGCTGACCGGATGTACGCTGTGACACGAACAACACGAAAATTAAACGTACGTCCACGAACTCTTCTCGAATAAATGCGCGCCTCACCCGGCACCAAGCCCGGTTAGCTAAGATTTTATGCATTTCATTTTGCTATTGCAAGGAAACTGTCTCAATATTCTCTTTTTTATTAGTTTTGTATTTAATTGCAAGGTTAAACGTCCTCAAAAGATATGAGTACTGTATCCGAGAAAATGATGGATCCGATCTTATAAACATTTCTGTTCCCCATGGAAGGAATCAATCATTACTGAGATATAAGCTCTATTGTAGTTAATGCCCATAAAAAGTTAGCCGAAACTACATGTATGTACTAGAATGATTTTTGAAAACAACAAGCCTCGACCCAAGCTCTTTAGCGAAATAATTGACCCTTACAAAGGCGTGGTGGCGCGGCCTAATTTAAAAACTTCCTGTAAAGCTGTCACGTGATCCGTTGTGTTCGTTCGTCTGTTGCAAAATGGCGGTTTGATCGTCTGATTGATTCGGCGTTACACTTCAAAATCTCGCCCATGCCTGACAATTTCCAACTTGAAAACGATCGGATTCTTACGGTATTATCGAACGCTAACGGTTCTCCTGGGAAATGAGTACGGAGAAGGGCGAAACAAAGAGAAAGAAAGGTATAACATGGGCTGAAGCCGCCAAACAGGTAAACTGCAATGGTGACAATGAATGCAATGTCAGCTGACTCAAAGCTCCGCGATTTTCTCTAGGCTGTTATATCATTTATTGAGGAGTATTGATTTTATATGTAGGTGCTAGAGAGGTCTACTGCACCGCTCACGCATAAAGATATCCTGAAGGTCATTCAGGAAGAGGGTTTGCGCGATTTGAGGTAAGGACAGCGATGCGTTCTTCGCCGGTCTATGATTGACAGAATTGAAGATTAGTGGCAGTTCGTTGATTTTCAAGGTGAAGAGGACCCTTTTCCTAGATCATGACTTATTTAAAAGGTCTGTGTCATGTTCAACCCCAGTATAGTACAAACTCACTAGCTGTAAAATTATTTTGAACAATCGAAACAAAGCAAATGGAGCCAAGGTATTTCGAGTGAGGTTGCGCTTTATGCTAGCGACTTTGACTTTTCTAAAATACAGTAATACCTTAGACTGGTACGAAGAGGGAGTATTTTTATTTAAGCTAGATTTTTTTACATTTTCATACCACATATTCAAAGCTGGCCGAATTTTTTTTGGTTCGATTTTTTGCTAAGAAGACTATTTGGGTGTTTGTGAATCAACATGGAGGAGGAATGGGAAGGAATATACGAACTTAAGGATCTTGGACCAACTCCAGGATTTTTAGGCTTGAATTCCATAAATATCAGTTTTTAGTTGGCTGTTGGCCAGGGAAGCTGTATTTTGCTCTCTATGGTTCGTCAGTTACTTTGTTTCAATTATTTGTCTGGTTATTTTATGGATTTATTCTTTGTTTTTCCTTTTTTATGAGGTCAAAGACATTTTAAATTGTTGCTGTTTTTGCATTGAATATTGTGAGAGAGAAAGTACAGCATAATACCATGGAAGGAAATGAGATCTAGGGTGATAATAACCACTGACCATGGCTAAAATCTTGGGAGGGTAAACATTCACCCTTAGTGGAATGTTGTCATTATCATCATCACAGTGTCTTCCTCTTCTCCCTGGTCTTTGAACTAGGGAATGTTTAACTTGTTTATTTAATTGGTTAAATTTGTTTATATGTGTATTGCTCAGAGAAATTGCTGGAAACCTTTCTAAATTCATATGAAAATTATCATACAGGGTGTATGTGACTTTTGAGTGGGCTTTTTACCCTATGATGATAAATAGTTCCTATAATCCTATTATTCTCTAACAGCCGTGGGACAGCACCCTTAGCATGTCTTAATGCGATGCTTCACCATCACTCTCGTGGGCCAAATGATCTGTTCATTAAAGTGGAAGGACGAATGAGCTGTTACCGACTTAATGTAAGTGCTGTTGACTTTGCAACAATATTTGCCTGAACACTGTTGATTTGCTTAGTTGAGCATTTTACTTTTTAGAAGCTGAAATTCATGTATTGACTTACAAATGAAACTCAGTGGAATCCTGAATTTTTACCATTCCTTTGAGAAAGCAGGGCTTGTCACTAACAGTAGCCCACTAGCCACAGACTAGTAGAAATTCAGTTTAGGCAAGTGGTTTTCAATTTCCACCAGCCAGTTTGGCTAGTAAACAGACTGAAATTGTCACTAGCCACTTGGCTAGTAAGTAGAAAAATTAGTGTTGAGCCCTGGGAATGAAATTGGTGTTTATTATTTAAGGCTTAAAAATATCAGGGATTTAATTTTACAGTGTTTGTTTGGGAAAGGGAAAGCAGTTTTGGTTCAAATTATCAAAATTTTCTAGAAATTTAGAGTCAAAAAATTGGGTTTCTCATGTTCATTGTTTTTGCAATTTAGCAGCTGAACTAATTTGTGTCTTTCCTTTCATGGAACTCTGCAAACTGTGTAAAACCAGAAATAATAATAAGATAAGAGTTACGGTAGTTTAAGACTTGATCAAATAAAATTTGTTGATCACCAAAACTGTTATTTTTTGTTTTGGTTTTTTGTTTTGTTTTCTTCTCTTTGCAGCCAAACAGGGTTGAGACTTCAGGGGAAAATTCTGGTATGTTGCATATAACTATTTATTACATGGCTCGGGCAGTCAGAGGGCCAATAACTAAAATCAACCAATCAAAATGCTCTCTTGTCGGTCAATTATCTCTCAGTATTGGACTGGGCACTGTCCTGAATGGTCCCGAATGATACTGCACTTGTGTTCCCTTGAACTTTAGTCGTATAATAAATCTCTTATTAACCAAGCTTGCTCGGGACCGTACTGGAAGAATATTGGCCCTCAGTCTTTTTTGTATGGACTGAGCCTAGCGAGGTCCGTACTGTCAAGACCTCAGGCTGATATTCTCCCAGTACAGCCCTCGCGCTTGGTTAATAAGATATGTCTTGTCATTTTTATTTAACTGTTTAACTCCTATGAATGACCAAGACAGAATTTCCTTTTACAACATCAAGTATACAAGTAATGAGAAAAAAATATACATATGTCAATGAGGAGATTATTATTATTTATTTAGTTGATCCAATACTAAATTCTACATCATAGCATCAAAAGAATTGTATGGCAGTCAGTAAGGAGAATTGCTGATGAGATCTTGGAAGTGAAGGGATCAACAGTGAAGCTTTTTATATCCTCAGTACAATAGATTTTTGATTTAATGTTTATTTTTATTTTTATTTATTTATTTATTTTTTTTGCCATGTCATAGCACTAGACTCTGATTCTGACCTTATGGATATGACTGATGATGCAGAATTTAGCATGTTCCTTGACAAGGACAGTGTGAATGGACCTCATCTCAATAATGGAAAAGTTAAGCTCCCTATGGGAACAAATGACATTGTAATGCCGCAGTTGAAACCACCCCCGCCCAATCCGTCCCCAAGGGATGCCAAACCAAAGGTGGCACTCACAAAAGATGGACGACTACAAAAAAAACGGGGTCCAAAACCAGGACCACGCAGCCAGTCTTCAAACAAGAGACCAAGGTTGAGTAGTACAAGGCCTGTGCCAAAAATGGTGTTGAAAAATCTCAAAGTGGGTACAGTTGAAAGTGGATCAGGAAGTAATGGAAGGAATGGGAATGGAAAAGTAAGTTTTACTGTAATGCTTATTTAGATAAAATGCAGTTGAAGTATAAACCCATGGTAAATGTAGTGACAGTGTAAGATTTATGTTGAGGGCTAACACTCCAAACGTCAGCGTTAGAAACTCTTTATGGTAGTCAATTTACATTTATCAACTCAGTTGTTAAAAACCAAAGTATCCTTTAAGATGAAAGTTATTGAGTGAATTGCGAATGTCCAATTAGATTCACTGCAACTACCTGTAAAGAAAAGCAACAGCTTTAAAATTAAACAATAATCCTATGGTAAGCAGTGGCTGTGATTGGAATAAATTGCCAATTTAAACAGGGACGAGTATGGCATCATAGTAGTTATTATTGTTTACTCAGCAGGTGAAAGCTCCATCCGTTCTTGTCCCGCCCTCATCCAAACTCATACCTCCATCTAGTGCATCAGTTACAGCCAATGCTATTGCAAGTCACAGCTTCCCCAGGGTTCCAAGCTCAGTTGATGGTCTGGAAGCTCAAGAAAAATTGGAGAAATTTTCTGACCTTTGGACAGCATCCAAGGTTGGTATCCTGTGGTGTACTTGGTACTTGGTTGAGTTCTCAAATTAGAGTTGGAGGAACTTTGGATATCTTTAAAGGGGTTTTTTGCTCACCTGCATGGTTGTTGCTAAGAAATTACAGTGCCAGTTGAAATTTCAAGTGAGGCATCTCAAAAGTGGTGAATGACAGTTAGTTTGTAATGCTGGAGGTGCCTGTTGTGTTATACCAAGCGATTGCCAGTCAAAAAATCCAGCCAGTAATTGCTAGTTTTTCACTTGGAAAATTTTGCAGGCAGCCTGCGCTTGGCAACAAACCCGCACCTGGGTTTTTCTTATTTTAATTTCCCTGAAACAAAAAAGTAAACCTTTTTTTTTTTTTTTGCTGAAATGCAAATGCCAAGCCTGAAAGGGTTTTGATAACTTTACAGTAATGCTTGAAAGTTTCAAGTGTCAGTTGATGCAAATGCAACATGGATTCACGAATGTGAATATTTATGAATCCTGGTCACATTCTTGTGGTAAAGCTGTTCATGTAAACTGTATGTTGCTAACTGCTTTTATTGATTGCATTCTGTTTTAGCCAAGAAGATACAAGAAAATGAGTGTTGGTGAGTGCCATCAGACTTCTACTCCAAAGCAGTTATGGTTACTCATTTTGAGCATGTTCAGAAAATAAATGGTTGACCCTTTAATACAAAAGAGAATTTCTTCTTACAATAGATTTTATAGCAGAAGGCTGAAGAAAGAAAAATATGATTATCAATTAAAGGATATTGTTTGATTCAGCACCAAATGCTCAAAGCAAAAATCAAGAGGAATATATGAGGAAAGGTGCAGAGAATTAATGTTTTGATCTTGTGAGTGGAATGGGTTCACACATTATTTGGGTCATTTTGCTGATCAGCCCCAACTTTAAGATCCTACGTGGCTTTATAATAATATGCAGTTAAGTTCCATGCCAAATAGACAAGCTCTCTGTACTGTATGCTGTAGTCAGTCATTATCGTAACAGATATTTAGGATCAAAGTCTACCAAGCTCAGCTTTGGAAGGTGATTTTTGAACCTGAGAAATATTGCACTTATCTCCTGAGTGGTTCACAACATTATTGACTGTAACATGAAAGTGCATTTTGTATGATGGTTGAACTCAACAGTGTGTGAAGGCAGTGAACAAATACTTTGAAAAAGAAGTGCTGTCAAACATAAGCATACTGAAAGTTCCTGACAAAATTGTAAAAGCCTTGAGCATAAATTATGAGCAGAATTCCAGCATAACAGTTCACGTACTTTTAGCATGACGTGTTCAGTCCTAGGAAGTTTTACTAGTTGTAGGATATTAAATGTACAGTGTTTGATTTTTCAGCTGCACAGTTAAAGAGGACCAAGGAGGGACGCGTAGACATACAGTCTCCAGACTCAATTCTCACCAGTATACCTCTTCGTGTAAGTCTGGTCCAATGTCTTTTGGTCATTATTTTTATCACAGTTCAGCAAGGAACATGTCACCTCACTGTCTTGTTAACCCTTTAACCATTTGACCCCTAAGGGTGGCTAGTCTATAATTTCTCCATACACTATCACCCCTGAATCTAACATCAAGGTCATGAGAATAAAGGAAATGATCACCAACTAGTAAAGCACTTTATTGTTAAATTCTCCTTGTCGACACCTTAAGAAATGTATAGAGAACAGTATGGAGAATATGCATACTGATAAGGGTGTGAAGGGTTAACTGCCTTTAGTGATAAAGACAAAATTTCTCCTTATAGTACCCATACAATATCAAGCAGACTGGCAATGAGAATAGAAAAAATATATATATATCAATTAGAGAATTATTAGGTGATCCAGTACCATATTCTTGAAACCAGCTTCATTATAATTCCATGGCAGCAGTAAGAAGAAGACATATTGTGATGATCTATTCATTTGACATTGTTTTTTTGCAGTCTCTCATCAACCAGCGAACATTTAACATGCTGCCGCAGTGGTATCAGTACAAGTTAGTGACGTTACTACCCAAAGTTGACAGAGCAATAGGCCATGATGGAGCTTTAAGGTCTGTGTTTCCCATTCCTTGTTAATGCAAAGTAACAAAAACTAAAATGTGCCAGTTTGATAGAAGTTAATGTTTATTCATCGTACACATTAGTACATGGTTTCAACATGGAATAAACTTTATAGGGAATATTTTATGTGTCAAAACATTAATTCACATGTAGCTATTATGTACTTATTGACTGGATAGGAGGGCCAGAGATAGCAATATTTATATGGATTTGGGTCATGACAAATAAACAGAGTGCCAGGAGGGGGCAGGACAGCTCTCTCTGGACCAGCTCATATCCACCTGTCCAACCCTACACAAGTCAGCTTGCACTAAGCTTTACTTTGGAATTGCCTGTGAAGGGCTTTCCAAGTCTCATAATGAAATTTTTTATTTCTAACTAAATGTTTTAATCAGAAGCAGTTGATCAACAAGCTATTCTTTTCTTTTTTTTACTCAGACCATCACACACTGCTTTCACAAATGAGTTCTTTGCAAGTGCTTGTCATTCATGGAAAGACAGGCTTCAAGATGGTAAGAGGCATTTCTTTATATGGCAGTTTTCAATTTGGTATTAAAAGCAATCCAGGATTGCATTGGGTTTTGCTTACTTCACTCTGTAAGAAGTCCAGAAAAATTAGAAGCTACTGGCGAGTACTAGTGAACTGTCAGCTAAAAAGAAATGCTGAGGGTTGTTTTTAATGAATAAAGACTGATAGTTTCTAAAGAATCTGTTTGGAGCTGCTTCGGTGGGGGTAACGAAATCTTTTGAATATATCAACAAAGTTGAAATGATAAATTGGCCACCGTTACGATTATAAAAGCTGACGTTTCGAGCGTTAGCCCTTCGTCGGAGCGAAAGTTGTTTTTAATGGACTCCCACTCCTTAGAAGAGGTTCAGCAATTTAGTGTTCCTCAGATTTTTTTTGTTGTTGTTGTTTTTTTTTGTTTTTTTTGATAACGGCAAAAAAAAAATAGCAGTACATAAGTGAGTGCCTAAAGGGAAAGAACATCCATTCAATTTGTATCTTTCCCCCTTGCATTTACTTTTAGTTTCCTTTCAAGTTTCGATAATTGAGTTTGGTTGGATATAAAAATAAAGCAAAAGGTTAAAAGTCCATTGGTAAAGACAGGTCATAAATTGCCTCATTATAGTAGGCGGTGCTTCAGAAGCAATCACATGTAGTCCGTGAGAGCTCCAGCTGCTGGTGCTTCTGGAGAACGCTGTCAGTACTCCAATCCAGGATGTGCTAGGGGCAGCAGGATCGCGTTTTGACTCACCATCTCTAAGTAGTAGTAGTAGTAGCAGTAGCAGTAGCAGTGGCAGTGGCAGTGGTAGTAGTAGTAGTAGAATAATAATAATAATAATAATAATATAGATCAATTTCTATAGCGCATTTCCATGTAAATGCTCTAATGCGCTTTACAACACTGTGCGGGGGACTTTTCCAGACTGCCGGCGGCAGTTTACAATTAATAAAGGAGAAATTTTTACAGATGCCCCCTCCCCCCCTTCCCAGTAAACAGGCCAGACCACATCACAGTAATCTCGTGATGTGGATTCTTTAACGTCCCTTGCCGAAATTAACTAATTGATAGGTGCAGGAGACGGGACCTCCGGCTTTACGTCCTATCCGAGAAGACGAAGCAATGTGAGTGAAGCGTCTTGCTTAAGGACACAACGTCAAGCCCCAGCCAGGACTTGAACCCGGGCCATCTGACCTAGAGTCCAGCGCACTGACCACTGGACTACTCAATCTATATTTATACACGATAAGAATTAAAGCTAAAAAGCTTGTGGGGTCGTTTACATAACAAAATAGTATCTAGCCAACTTATGATAATACTAAGACACATTTAAAACTATGGTTATGTTTGATAGATTGTTTTCTTCTGCCTTCCAGGTGACTTTATGACAGATATGCAACAGAGGATCAAACAAGAGGAAGAGCGACTGGCCAAATTGGATCCTTGGAAGGTGATGGTGAACGTGTTGTGTGAATGTGTGATGATTAATAATTTGACTGGCACAAATTTCTTTTTCTTTTTTTTTTTCCTCAATTGTAAACAATTACCATTGCTGCAAAGTTATTGATGTGCTCATGTCTTTTCACTTTCCCGTGAAATTTTTGCTTTGCAGGCTAAGTTCTTCGAACCAGTCTGGGGAAAAAGGTAAGTTATCTTGCTTTTGATTCTGTGTGTGTTTGTTTGTATCAGGAAGCAATTTTGCTTCTTGTTGCCTGCGAAAGAGAAAGGTTAACCAAAAGGCGACCGTTTTAGAAAGGAATGGCTGTAGCTCTCCGTAACTTTTCCTTATTTTTCGCACAGGACCCTTCCAGACGACAGTTCTTTATCCCAAGACCCCACGGATTCCTACTTCACAGCGCCTCTCTCCCCGGCGCCAGCCTCGTCACCAAGAAGCACCATGACCGGAAACCATAAGGATCCCACCCTAGGCAGGTCACAACTCAAATCACCGAGGATGTCAAGTGCTATGATACAACCGCTGACGGTACCTGTACAAAAACTTCCGACGCACTGTCTTCCGAAACGAGTCACCGAATCTAGGAGATCCGAAGCCGCCAAACAGCTTCGTTCAAACGCACGTACATCTCGATCGCGGTCCATACCCATTTACAAAATGGTCACTGTGGCACATGCCACAGAGGCTCTAAAAGCTGTGAGAACTTGCGCGCCACCGTCCATGCTTACCGCTAGTACGGTGTACGCAAAAAAACGAACAATTAAGACGCCATGTAATGAGGCGTCTACGTCAGCAGCTTCCATTTCCACTCCTTCGATTCTTTCACACGATGCTGTAGAGCTCCGTGCTCCCGCCTCCCTCATTAAGCCGAGACCTCCATCCCGTGCTGCGATGCGTCAACAGGTGGCAGCCAACCGGGAGGAGCTAACACGACGACGCTCTGCTTCGGGCACTGCCACCAAAAGTGGCTTTACGTCGTCCACGGTGTCCGCTAAGAACTTTAACAGATCGATGCTGCTCAAGAGTTGCTCTTGCAGGCTGAAGGCGATGGAGGTTTGCAGAAAATGCGGAGCATTCTGTCACGATGACTGTATAAGCGCGGCACAGCTCTGTAACTCGTGCGTCAGTGTTAACTGACAGACGCCAAATGTATGATGTTCATATTATGCTGGTCTTAGACATTCAGTTTCACTTGTCCTTAATAGAGATGATCGTGCTTCCGTTGCCATCAGAAAGTTAACACCTCATGGTTGAAGTTTTTTTGTCTATTTCTTTGTTTGCTTGAGCTTTTCCTTTTTGAGATCTTTTCCAAGTATTAGACAGGTTTTGCTCAAGTTAATGTTTTTTGGTCGCCAAAACCGCGCGTATTTTAGGACTATATACTTCGTTTCCGTAAACAACACCACTAGAAAACGTTTTTTTAGTTGCTTACTAGTCCATCGTAAATTTTGATTGTTCAGCTTCTACTTTTCGCATACTAAATCCTTAGAAAATTGCTGAAGAAAAGCGTTAAGTTAAACAAGAAATAGGTGTTTCAACTTTCAAGAGTGACATACGGTAGCGTGGTATTAGCTGTAACATTAGGGAATTTAAGCAAACCACGATGGCGACGGCAACGAGAAAGTGGAAAAACAGTAGATCTAATTGGCAGAACAATAGCCAGCACGTGCGTTTTAAAACTTTGTACATTTTTCAGCCGTCCTTTGCAAAACAACAACGTGAAATCCCCAAAATTTGTGTCGTCTGCGAACCGAAACGGCGGCGGCAAATTATTTTAATTTACATTTGGAACTCAACGCTACTTTTATGCGTTATGTTGAGTTTAAGGTTTGGCGCCCTATGAGACGGTTAACACATGTAGTCATTTTCGAAATTCTAACTAAAAGTAGAAACTAATTTTTTAATCGACGTCTTCCGTGGCGTTGCCGTCGTGACTGCTTAAATTCCCTATTGAACATAGACAAACTTTTATTCAGAATTTTTAAAATCTTAACTTGCACCACGAAAACCGTTGAATCTCAGGCTTTATTCTACAAGACATAAACTTACACACTGATTAGTCACTTCAGGAGCTAAACCACAGTTTGCATTTTGAAAAATTTTTCTTTAAGTTATTATGTTCGTGTTCTGTTATACGAATCAATCTTCTCCTCCAGGGTGCAATTTTCCATTAAGTGCCGAAAGTAAGCTGGAATTGTAAAGGTTTCCTACGCGCTGTGTGATTGGTTTAGGAAACTCGCGCCACTCTTTGACCAATCACATAGTGGCTTGGTCACCCTCGTTTTCGCGCGCCTTGTCCAATTTGTTTTGACTCTAAATTTCATCGCCACTTTGAGATATTTTCATTTTTTTCACTAGGCTGCCGAGTTTAGTTTGGTTTTTCGGTTACGACATTCAATTAAAAAGGGCGCCAACGGTCCTTAAGAACTCAGTTCATTCTGTTTTTTCTATCATACGGAACTTAGGCAAGGATAGTTTCAGATTTAGTCGAAAGCGACACATTGTATCTTTGTCCCTTCAACCTTTCACTCCCAGAAGAGACCAAATGTGAATAACTCCTAATAATACCAATACACTTTCTCGATACAAAGCGATGAGAAGGTAGAAAAACATCAACCAGGGTATCTGGTTCGATGAAACACCAAATTCTTAGAACAGAAACCATAATAATTGTATGGCACTCAGTGCGTAGAATTGATATTGTTGGGAGTGAAAGAGTTTTAGTTCCCGATGTTGTGGTAAAACAACCATTCCTAATTGTAAGCTGCATAACATTCTGTTTACTGAAAGTTTCTTTATTTCTGTTGTCAGTAGAGTACGAGAAGAGATAGGACAATTTATCAGAATTATGTCAGGTACATGAGATTAAAATATTGTAAATAATGACTAAATGACCAGGTCAGTCGGATTTTAAAAAGAAAAAAAAAACCGAAAACAAGAAATTTATTACATTCAGCTGTTCTGGTCCGTTTTTATTAAATAATTGATGTTTTGGACACTTGAATGTTACGATGAAATGTGTGCCTCCGTTTGTCGTGTGGGAAGCAAAGGGAACCTCGGTGCCTTTCAAACGTTACGGAAGCGTTGTTGACAGTATCTAATTCTGACAATGAAGACCACTGACTTTCGGAAAATTCAGCTACCGGGCAGGCTCAGAAAGATACAAATAAGTCACTGCGTATGTTGCTCACTTTACTCATCATCAATCACGGACGAGATGATGTGCAGATTAGGTACTATCAACTAAGTTGAAATTGTAAATTGGAGCGTTAACCCTTCGTCATTCGCTCTGACGAAGTGCTAACGCCCGAAACGTCAGCTTTTTAAATCTTTACGGTGGCCAACTTACAATTTCAAGTTGGTTGATATTACCTTGTTACCCCCACCGACACAGCACCATAGTTTCTTTAGAAACTTACCCCCTTTATTCGGTGTGTAGATTAGCCAATCAGATTGCAGTATTTGTGGAAAACGCCGACAGCGGTATCTTTATATGCACGAAAGATATTTAAGCAATAGAGCACCTCGTGTTTTCCCAGCATGCCCCGTAGCTTTATCACGTGTTATGGAGTCCTTGCTCTATAACACGTGATAACACATGCTGGCTCTACAACCTGATAAAATATCCGCTTGGAAACTGAACTTACCAATCAGACGATGCGTACTAATGTTCATTATGCTATAAAGCGAAATGATACTTCGGCGCCAGTTAGAGTCACAAAAGACACCATCACATTTTTTTCTCGATTTACTATACCCTACGAAAAATTGGTTTCTTGTTCGCTGGCCGAGAGAGAAACGTAGCGGGGTAGTAGAAACCAGTTGCTCGCCGCGGGGTACCTTCACGATGCACTACCCTCCCTCCCTCCCTCCCTCCCTCCCTAGGTTTTGGGATTGAAATAAGGGCAGGCGAGATTTCATGTACTAAAACAACTAGTTTGTGCCTGTAGGTACTTCGCTAAAACAGATGCACTACCGTTCGAGCCTATATTGATTGACTGTCGTAAAAGCAAAACCAAAGTAATCATAGCAGCTAGTCAGAACAAATAAAAACATGATAAGACAAGGAGCCGTTAAAACTCAAAGTTAAAACAAGCTTACTACCTGGGCGCAAGAAAACGCGATTGACCAAGTCGCAATTTACTTTATGTAAGATTCGAATCTTATTGGTTGGGACAATGGTGCGAATTTCTTGGAACAATCTCTGCGATACTTTTGCGTCTTGTTTATCAAGTGAAAGCGTGGTACAGGCAAGAGCAATTTCAATTGAGTATTGAAGGTAATCCAGGAGAGCGCTTTGGTTTTTCTTCACTGTGTGGCTGGTTCGAGAAAATTTTCCTTCTTTTTCAACTAATAGGATTTAAACGAAACCTAGTAAAGGCAAAATTTTCTTTAAACATCTATTGTATTGTCATACATTGAATGATACCTTTTAAATACAACTGCAATTAAAATATAATATTATTGAATCGATACCACAATGGAAAAAGACTAATAAAGTATCCGATAAATATCAAAATAACATGATATAAGTAAAAATTAAAAAAGTCATATTGATATGCTTTCGTGGAGTAAAAACTAGGAATATCTATAGATTAAAAAAAATGTAGCCTTCGGAGATGGAAATAATTGCATAGGGTAAACTGAAGAAGGAAGGGACAATTTTACAGTTCTTTCCGCGTAATCTCCAGTTTGAGTTTTCTTTTCAGAGTAAATGGAAGTGGTAGACTGTCAAAACCACGTATTCTTGAGGTTTTCCTTATTCTTTCCCTTATGACAGAAAGACAGTCTGATTCAAGACTTGACATTCTCGGACATTTGGAAGCCAGTAAGAATTTCCGGATCTCTTTTGATTTGCACCTGTCCATCGCTGTCAGGCCACAATAATCCGATTGGTTAATTTTCGCTCCAAGGAACACCATCGCCTTGACAGTGTGTTCAAATTGGCCAATCACGGCCAAATGCAAAGGAGTGTACCCACAGTACATTTCTCTAGTATTCAAATCCGCCCCACTGAGAAATAGCGCGGTTGCACTAGCTTCGTTACCGTTCTGCGCAGCAAAGTGTAAAGGCGTGTACCCCGCGAAATTTTGCGCGTGAGTATTCGCGTTATGGCGAACCAGTAGTTCTATGAGAGCATAATCGTTGTGCATTGCTGCAAAATGAAGAGGAGTTTCACCAAAGAAAACGCCGCTACTGTAATTCACATTGGCTCCAAACTCGCACAGAAGCTCAGCAATGTCCAACATGTTTTCTGCTCTTGAAGTTGTTAATGCCAGGAGAAGAGGACTGGAATCTAAAGAGTCGACTCCATTGACGTCCGCACCTCGTAACAGCAGACTGTGCACATGTTTTGGTGGTGCGCCGGAGCGCAGCGCAGTCCTGAGTTGACTGTCTAGTAACTCCTGATTCGTAGAGTGTACTAAATTGTACTTAAATCTTTTGAAAATACTTTGCAACCCTGGAAGATATAAATAACCATGCAAGTTAAAAAAATTTAATGAATGCCAATCATATAGTTTTCTTGTCACTGCAACAATTTGCACAAGCTAAGATGGCTCGGTAACCTCGGCTCAAAATGGCAACCTAGAACACTCTGCCAAAATTTTTTTATTTGCTTGCTAACCTCCATACCTCATTAAAATTCTTTTCCATCTCATCTTAGTTTCATCCTCAAGAAGTTGTATTCTTATATTTTATTTGCTAAAAAAGCACCGTGTATGGCGATGTTTATACATACGATAAAATTACCCGCAAGGTTTTCATGACATACTGAGTGGCATTGGCAGTAGGTTACGGCGCCGTACTGGCAATTCCGTAGAGGTGTGGGTCCGAGTCACTCTGATTAATTAGTTATTCGTACTGCGTATGGAGTATGAGTCGCCATCTTGCGTTTTATTGTTTCCATTGTTTGTCTCACTCTGATGTTTGACTGTTAGGGTTTTTACTTTGATTTTAGTATGGGAATAAGTGGGTTAGGGAATTGGGCTTAGGGTGTGGTCGTGTGAGTGACTGCAATAACCCAGGTTTAAATCCCGGTCACGACAATTTTTTTCCTTTTATTCTAAAATGAACGTTTTTTGAATATTAATTTCATCTTGAAATCATTTTCCCTAAGGGAGGATTAAACACCATCTTAGGTTTCATTATTTTTATTGTTTTATACCATCTTAGATGACCTTTATTTTTTCAAATTCTGAAAAAAACACGCTCCTATAATCTATACAATTTAGCCCTAAACCATAATTTATTCAACGCTTTTATTTTGTGTTTCCTTCCTACATCTCTCATACATTTCCTTCTAATTTTCAGGTGTGGATACTCTATTGTCCTAGAACCGGTATGGGTAGTTGCGCAATAGTGTGTATCATTCATAATAAACACTCATAAGTTCGTCTATCCACTTTGGTTTCTAGAGTGATCTTATTCTTTTTAAATTGTCCTGCCAAAACGCTTCTCTCTCTATTTCTTCTTCTTTTAGTACACACCATTCGCATTGACCGCAATCACAAGAGAAATCGTAAAAGTCAGACATTATAATACTGACCAAGAGTTTATAGCAACAAGGTTTATATCTACCCGAACACTTTGACAGCTTGTCAATCCCTGTGTCTTACGATCGTAAATCTCTTACAAATTGAGCAGTGCGTTATAATGCTCGTAAGATTCCTCCTCCTCCTAACTTTTGGCCGAAAATCGCTTAGCAACGGCTGCCAAGGTAAAGAAATTTCTGTTTGTTTTGTAACGTCGCTGCGCGACTCGGGCAATTTCAGCAACGCGTGATATTAATCCTTAATTTTACTCGGCCCCATGCGATTACCTATACAAATAACCACAGTACTTGCCTTGCTCCTTCGTAAACTTCTCCCTAGTTCTTGGCATCGTCAATTTTTTCTTGTTGACTGCTAATTGAGGAATCCTTCACTACCGCTGGTTCTATAAATCTGCTTGTTTCTTATAGCTGCCAAAGGAGATGAGAATACTCCTTCACGTTTGTTATATCCTTTGCTGGTTCAACTACATTTACTAACACTGGTCGTTTAGTAAATGGTGACTAGTTTGAAAAGTTTGTGTAAAATGACGACAGCTAGCTTACCATTCAATCATAGATCACGTCATAAGCTCGTGCAACTCAGGAGTTTGATCAAAGATACGCGCGAGTCAAATCGCGCATGTTAGACCCCCTCTTGACACTCCCCCTGGATCCGCTATTGGAATAGTTATTAAGGTGGGAGGTAGGGACGATTACTGCAACTCTCTTTAGCACGGTCTTCTTTCACTTTCACCGAACAGCGAATGGTTATCGAGCCTACTTGAACATAAGGGTCGACTGGAAAACGAAACCCTTCGGTATTTGGACGAAATCAGGAAAGAGAGGCGCTGAGACTGATAATTCTGAACCGCATTTTTTATCGAGAAAGAAAAGCAAATTCACACATCCAACTCTAGAACAAAGACAATCTTGATATTTGCTCTTCTGGTTGAAGGTGTTTTGGTCTTTTCCCAGTTCGAAGCTCAAAGTCAAGTAGAGGAAAGATGAACACAGAACCCGAAAAAACACGCCTTTTGTATTGAATACACGAATGAAACTCCAGTGAATGCAACTTAGAAAACGTCATGAGTGCAGTAAATTAATGAAGAAATACCTGTTCTCTAAAATTGACCCCCGTCAACTTTTAAACATATTTTATAAACTCAATACGTTTTGCCTTTTCAACAAAATCTCGTTGCTGGCACAATTGCGCATTCGCACAATTGTGTGTTCAATATAAGATATTTAAATTCAACAATTTATTCAAACTTCGTCGGGAACAAGGAGTTGAAACCTTGTACAGCACAATGAATTGATTAAGTTGAATCGGATATAAAGAAAGCACTCTCAAGAACATAAAGGTCAGTATGAAAGTCATTGAATTTTTGTCTTTTGTCTTTAATTGTCATTGGCTAAAGACGTTTGTGCCACCGAATAATTTATTTTCTGGTATACAACAACAAACCAATTGTACGTCTTTAAAAGAGGAATTTATTGAAAACGAATGAAAACGACGCTGTTTACATTTTTCGATATTTCCGTTGTTTTTGTAATTCAAACTACCATCTTGACTAGGATCCAAGTTAGGATATTTCCGTCAGCGAAAAATCAACGAAAACGGTTTATGGCATTTAATGTTCTTGAATTAAAATGCGCAAAAGTTATCGTTTGACTGACTCTCCCTAAATGTGAGTCATTTCAGTGAGTTTCGGGTTAAAATAACCCAGTCCTATAATCTAGCAAACATAATCTAGCAAACTTAAGCCTTAGAGAAATACACAGGCAACACAATGCTTTTACATCGCCAAACGAATGGCTCACAGTTCAAGTCAACGAACACGGAAACTTTACCGCGAACCAAAAATCGCTCGCAAGTTAGAACAGTAGCGTTCAGACCACCCTACATCAGTCAGCTAGATTAGGGAAATACGATAAATTTCTTACTTGTTTCAGATGAAGCCTTTGTCCTTTAAACATTCGCCATATGTTCTTTACAAATTTCTATTGATTCTGTTCATTTCTCTTTAGGCAAACCGGCTTTGTTGTGACTTTCTTTGTTTCCGGTTTTCAACTGCGTAGTACTGGGTGCGAACTAATCTACCAGCGGTCATTAAAGTTTACAACATGGCTGCGATACTGGCGGTAAATGGTTGTACTGTAGTAGAAAATTTGCTACAATTTTGCAATATTTCGAAAGAAAGGATTCTCGTAGAGGAGCAAAAAGAGTTCACCTCACCCAAGGTATGGAATGATTGAGTTCTTCTTCAAGGGAAAATTAATTTTGTCGGTAAGGTAGTATTTTCTGAATCTTTATTTAGTTCTTAATAACCGAGCGGGAGGTCTGTATGGGAGAATCTTGACCGAGGTCGCCAGTACAGACCGAGGTCAAGATTCTCCCATACAGACCGACCTTGCTCGGTTAATAAGATGCTTATTATATGGCTGTGTCTTGTGTGCCAAAGCATTAAAGCATCTAGATGGGAAAATCTAGACCGCTTTCAATATTGATTTCAGCCAATCAAATTCGTGAATTCGGTAGTTCCCAGTCCTTGTGAGACACAGCCATATAATAATTAACAA